AGTGCGAGTCTTCCTCAGATGCTTGCTCTGCGGCTGTGAATCCATGAGTAGTGTAGCGTCGTGCTGGCTGTGTTTGTAGAAGTGTACTTAAGTGCTGACATGCTGTAATAGCGTTCTGCAGCTTGCTTTTCTCACTGAACATTATGTTTTTGAGATTTATCCCTGTTGATACTTACATCTGGTTTATTTCAGTGCCATGAAGTGCATTGTTGTACTACAGCCTGTTTATCTGTTTATCGGTTCCACTGTCAGTGGGTTCTTGGTTGTTTCTGGTTTTTCTATATTATAAGAATGCTGCCATTTTAAATGTCTTCTTCGGGACTTCCGTGGCAGTCCAGTGGTTAAGACTCTGCACTTTCACTGTAGAGGGCATGGGTTTGATCCCTAGTTGGGGAACTAAGATCCTGCATGCCTTGTGGTGGGGCCAAAAACAAGTCTTTTTTGTGCCGCCTGACATGGCCACATGGGCCTTCTGGCCAAGTTCAAGTGAGCCTAATCCCTTTGACCTCCCTTGGGTTTTTCTGAGCTTCACCTCCCAAACTAGCTGCCTTCTTCCTTTCCTTATTAGCTCTCCCAGCAGGGGAAGATTTAGGGGAGCAGGAGAGAGAAGAGGGATGTGATGAATGGAATGGGTGGTGGATGTGGCCAAAGCATGGTCTGTATTTGTCATCCCACCCCTACTGCCCTTCAGTTCTTATTTGATTTTTATTTAACTTGAATGAATTTATCATAAGACAGTTTAAGAAAAATGTATATCTATCTCACCCGCATTCCTGCCTTCCTCACACAACTGTTTTCACTTTTCTGAGTCCCTTTTGGTCTCTGTCTACAAGCATATTTCTGCACAGTTGTAATTGTACACATAGCACTGTGTATTCTGTATTTTCGATTTAACCACATATTACAAACATTTTCCATCCTGCTACAGTCTTCATGATGACCATGTATTTCCGTGATCATGTAACCTTTTGTCCTGCCACGTGCCCTAACCTGCTCTATCCTGTCCTGGGGCCTGCTTTTCCTCGCCTTTCTCTTCCCCAGTCCCAGCAATCTTTGTGATCACATGGTCATCTAGAAGCAGAGAAACAGCCCTGCCCAGCTCCTCTCCCACCCACCGACGGTGCTGCCCCCAGACCCACCACCTCCTTCGAAACTCCCTTTCTTTGGCGATAGAAAAGCAGCCAAACGCAACAGTGGGACAGTCTCAGTATGTGCGACTTTGAGATTGTTTTACATACTCACAAATCGGCTTCTCCCAGGAGGAAACAGTATGGAGCCGGCTCCTTAGGCCTTTTCTTTCTTCTCTAGGTTTTCAGGGAGATGGTGAAGGGGATTCAGAGGCTCTGCCATTTGGAGCTCTACCCAAGCTCCCCAGGGAGGGGCCTGGGGCTGAAGCCCTCTCTAGGAGTGTAAAGTATGTGTTCTGTGCCCAGAGGTTAAGCTTGGGGTGGTGCACGTAAGAGAACACCATCTGTAGACGTGGCAGCATCACGCCATCCCTGGAGCCCTCCCTGTGGTGTTGATTTCACCTCTATCTTCTGTTTCTTGAGCAAACTCCCTCCAGGCAGCGTGGAGTTTCCCGTTTATATCACTAAAGCAAGGCTTCTCCTTTTTCAATTTATTTCTATTTTTTGGCCACACCACACGGCTTGCAGAATCTTAGTTCCTCAACCAGGGACTGAACCTGGGCCCTGACAGTGAAAGTGTGGGATCATATCCACTGGACCACCAGGGAAGTCCTCGGCACTGGTCTTCTACCCCTTCTCAAGAGCCAAATGGTCAACCTAGGGATGACTAATAATGATAATAGTAGACTTAGTTATAATGAGAGCTGATATATATGGAGTACTTTGTGCCAGATATCCTCAAAAGCATTTTCTACTTGTCATCTTTTTACTCCTTCCTATACCCAAGTAAGATCGGAAACTCCCACTACCCCCATTTGACGGTGTGGAACTGAGGCTCTGAGCAATTAAATGACGTGCCTACATCTTCCTTAGAACCCTCACTGTAGTCTCCTCCCCAACACTGTCCCAGCTGGGAAATGACACGATCAAGAGAAGCAGAGATGAACTGTTCCCTTTTCATTCCCTTCAGAGAAGCCCCTTGCTGGTGTGGAAGTTATTTTGTACAAAGACATTGATTCGAAATTTTCCATTCCCTTTAAGTTTCCCATCAGAGGCTCTGCCCTATTTTCTCCTTGGAAGTCTCTGCTTCAGGGAACCTGCTTCAAGGGACAGGGGAACAGGGAAGGCAGGATAGGCTGGATGGGGAAGCCGGTGAATGGGAGAGAAAGGGGAGAGGTGATCCTATCTTAGCCTCCTTCTGTTGAAGCCTCAGATGATTGTATCTCAGCCTCCTTCTCCCACAGCCTCAGAGAAGAGGGAAGTGGGTGGTGCAGAAGGTATGGATGCAGGAGCGTGGCCTGCCCTGCCCAGCTCCTCCTTGGGGATGACCACCCTCCAACCGACAGTGCTGTGAGAGTCCCTGCTAGCAGGTTGGCCTGGTAGAAAGAGCAGCAGTTTGCCAACAAGCAGACCAGGCTTCCTGTCCCAACTTGGCCACTTACTGGGCAGATGGCCTTGGGTAGGCAACTTGACCATTGGCAGAAGGAGGATAGTCTTACATCCCAGGGTGAGGTCCCCACGCTGGGTGGAGTGCTGAGCAGATGCCGCGAGAGAACTTCCTTCTGGCTGGTTCATCCCCACAGAGGCATACACACTTAGGGCTCTGGGGCCAAACTAATCCAAGATCCGGTCAGTGATGGGAAAGCAACTGGTACTTGTCAATTATTTTTCCCAGTCCATGTGCTATAAGTGGGCTTCTCTAGATTGAAATCTGTGGTCACTGTACCAAGTCACTTTCTGTTTGTGCTCCACAGTCAACCTAACCTCGTCATCTTGGGCTTAAAGCACCAAATACAAGGGGCCTTTGCTTTTGCATAGCTGTTGGGGAGGGGTGGGGAGACCCAGGGTCCAGGGGAGCTGTTCCTCCATGGAATTGGCTGAGGAACCCCCAATAGTCACCTGGGGGCTCGAGTCCCTGCCTTGCTGTCCTGGTGCCTCCCCACTGCCCCAACTGGCAAGGACTGGAGACAGGCCTTAGCCATGGTAACAAAGAAGCCTATTAGTCACCTGGAGAAACCAAAGCCCCAAACCGGGAAGCAGGCCTCTCTGCCTTTGGATTTAACTTTCTCTCCCTTCTCCATCCTCTGTGCCTGCCTGCCCTCCACAGACCAACCCAGCATCCCACATCTGGGCTACAAACAAGCCTGCTGCTGTGTCTAATCATCGCAGTGGGCAGGGCCCTGGTTTAACCCAACACTAGAAATTGCCCAATTTCAGAAACTGATTAAACAACTTTGCCAAAGCATTTTTGAAATGGGGCATGGCACTGGGAGGCGTTCGTCTGCAACCAGCTGGCCCTTCATGTCGTGGGCCCCAGCCCCAGGCCCCTACAGGCCGCTGACTCAAAGCCAGCCCCATCATGGATGGGGAGACCCCTGATGTGAGCCCCAGGTCTCTGGGAGATGATGAGCAGATATGAGATGAGGCTGAAGATGCCCCATGTCCCTTGTGCTCTGGGCACATGCTGAAAGCCCTCAAAAGCTCTGGCTGTGGCCACATGCATTTGTATATGATGTGTGTGGTGGAAAAGGCAGTCCCCAGAGGCTGCTTCTTTCTGGACCTGCTCTCCAACACACCAAGCCTCTCCTTCTCATAGGCGTGAACATAATGCACTCGTTTTTCCTTTTGAAGGCAGGCCCACCCCTGCATGCCTGCCGCCCCAGCCACCCTACAGGTTACAAAACACCACGGCTGTGTTTCTGGTACCTCAGCATCCCTCCCCCCACCCCCCACAGAGAAGTAAAATGTCAGTGAAGCAAACTACTGACTCAAAGCTGTGGAATCTATAAATATTAAATTGCTCTGGCTTTCCCTGGCCCATCTAGCTCCGGTCAGCTCCGGTGGGGAGGTGGCTGATTAGTGCAAGGAGGGGAGGGACCACTGGGGAGACAAGTGTCCTCAGAGGTCAAGGCCGAGGCTACCTCCATGGACTGAGGTCCCTAGCTGGAGGAGAAGCAGCAGGGAGTGGAGCGCAAGAAGCAGGGAGCTGGAAAACCCACACGCCCCTGTAACCCAGAAGGGGTCACCTCTGATTTTTCCATTGGAGGCTTTACGGTTGGAGAGAGACTGTGGTTTGTGGGGAGCTGGGTGTTGCATCTCTGACCCCAACCCAGAAGTCTAATGTGAGGGCGGCAGCACTGCCAGTATGCTTCCCCCAGGGACTGTAGCCCTCAGAGCGGGCACTGGAACCTCCCCAGGCAGCAGGGCTGGAGATGGCGGCCAGCTGTCCTCCTCCTGTCCGCTGCCCCAGGCTCCTCCCCACACAGGCCCCTGTGCTCCCCCGGGTGGGGCCCTCCTGCTGTGATCTGTGCTGGTCTGCATACCCTTGCGTGTGCGCTGCGCGGGAGTACACGTTCACACCACCTCCTGAGGTGGAGACTTCCTGCAGGCGAGGGAGCAGCTCCTGTTTCTTGGGGACCTCATGTTGTTGCTCAGTCGTGTCCGACTCTTTGCAACCCTATGGGCTGCAGCACACCAGGCTTCCCTGTCCTTCACTATTTCCCAGAGTTTGCTCAAGCTCATGTCCATTGAGTTGATGATGCCATCCAACCTCTCTAGGCTTTCTCATTTTTCTTCTATGTACTGAGACCCAGGGCTGAAGTTCTTAAATGCACAGCCTCGTTGATCCTTCCATAGTGGGATAAGGTGGGAACTGCAGTATGTTTACCACATGGCAGCAGAGGGTCTGAGGTCCAGAGGGGGGAGGTGACTTGCTTGGAGTTCCATGGAGAAGTCCCCTGCAGACCCAGGTGGGTTCCGTGGCTCTTCAGAGGTGGAGCCCAGATTCCACTCGAGGACTAAACCGTGTCCGGGGGGGCTGTCCCACGGACTGTGGGGCCATGGCCAAGCTCTCTCTCTCTCTCTCTCTTCCAGGCATCCCCACCCTCATCGTGTTGGACCCGCAGGGGGAGGTGATCACGCGGCAGGGGCGGGTGGAGGTGCTGAACGACGAGGACTGCAGGGGCTTCCCGTGGCACCCCAAGCCTGTGCTGGAGCTCTCTGACTCCAATGCCGTGCAGCTGAACGAGGGCCCCTGCCTCGTCCTGTTTGTAGGTAGGTAGCTCAGCTGCGGGCCCTGGGTGGGACAAAATGGGCAGAGCTCACTAGGGGGCCGGGGGGGTCTGTCCCTGCAGCTTCTTTCATTCACCAGCAGCACAAAGCCTGGGCCTTTGTCTCTGGCTGCCGTGCTTCTGACCCCGGTGATTTATTCATGCTTCTCCCCTGTGGCGGCTGTGCAGGGAGCTGCTGCTCTGCTTTCCTTCTAGCTGCTCCTGGCCACCAGCTGGGAAGAAGAGGTCACGCCGGGAGGAAGCCCTGGGCCCGCTGATGAACAGACCCATTGTTGGAGGCGGGGCTGCTGCGCAGCAGCTGTGGGGGGCTGGGCCCGCTCAGGCCAGGGCTCACCCCCAGCTGCTGCCGCTTCTCTCCTGTGCTCTGAGGAGCTGCCCCAGGGCGGCATCTCTGGGGCTGAGAACCCCTCCGTCTCCCTGCCTCTCCCTCTCGTGCTCAGTGTGTGACTGGTCTGCCCTGCAGGAAGATGCAGGAGTACCCGTGCCAGGCTCCTGGCAGGCCCGTGGGGTGACCCCTGGTTCCTTCTGCAAATGGAGTAACTGCTGGCCAAGGGCCACCTCGCACTCTGCCTTAGGACTCATTGCTCGGTTCCAACTTAAAATAAGTCTGGGTACCAGGATCATGGTACATGGAACAGGAACATGGCTGAGCTGCTGCCGTCTGTAGTGATGGGGCTGGAGAATGTGTGTGGCATCCAACCCCCATTCTCTGGAAGTCTGGTTTGGGGGCCCCCAGGTGGGAAGCCCATGGTGGACTGGAGGGAATCCTGGCTTGCAGGCTGGCCTTGTGCTTGGACAACAGTGACCCTGAGAAGGGATGGCCTTGGGGAACCATTCACCTTGGGGCTTTCCTGCCTGCTGCAGGCTCACACGCCCCTAGCCTGGGGCCTGGGAAGCTTTTATGAACTGAGGGACGGAACGTCACTGGCCATCTGTAAATATGAAACAGGGTCGCAGGGAGGCACAGCAAGTTCCCAGCATCACCAAGCTAATCAGAGATGAATCTAGAGTGCATGGGGCTAAGCCTGCGCACCGGTCCTCCTGGGAGGACTTCCGGTTGAAGGTCCTCTGCAGGCGCCTGTCCCCCTCCCCTGCTTTGCACTGCCTCTCGGTGACAGTTCAGCAGGGGTGAGCTGCTCCCGTGCTGCTATTTCACTGGAAGCAAGAGATGCCCAAAGCGGGTTCTGGGAGCCTCGTTGGGGGTTCTTCCCTACAGTCAGCCTGTCCGCTCCCAGGCAAGTCCTGCTGCCAGCTATGAAGTTGGCATGCCAGTACCCTGGTGCCTCCCAACTACCACAGAAGCTGATAATCAGACCACAGTCCTGACTCACCATCACTGCCACTTCTGCCATTTCCATTAGGAAGTCAGGGATCCAAGGACAGAGCATCTCATTCTATGATGGAGAGAGAACCACCAGGGCCTCAGGTTCTGGTTTAGGAGAGGCTCACCTTCCAAGGTGGGTTTGTGAGGAGTTCAGTGAGCAGGATTTCATTTGCCTGGGCATTAGTGCTAGATGGTGAAGTGAGTTCTTCCTGGGGGCATGATGCAGAACAGCCTGCCTGCGAGAGCGAGGAAACTGGCCTGTGCCTGGGGACACACCCTCTTGCCTCCAGGAGGCGAGGTCGGTGTCCCAGGGGAGGCTTTGCTTCCATTCAGGGGCCGCCCAGATGGGCGTGTCGGGCCCCGGACCTGGGCACCACTCCATCTGATTGACAAGCCAGTGCTTCTTTGTGGCTTTCTCTCTCTTGTCACAGATTCTGAGGATGACGGCGAGTCAGAGGCGGCCAAGCAGCTGATCCAGCCAATAGCTGAGAAGATCATTGCCAAGTACAAAGCCAAAGAGGAGGAGGCGCCGCTCCTGTTCTTTGTGGCAGGGGAGGTGAGTGCCGCCGGGGCCCCCCGGGCTGGTTCTGCTGGCCGACCTTTACAACACAAGTGATGTAGCCCTTGGGGATGTCTGAAGGGGCCTGGGGTTCTGGGGTGACGGTGCTTCTAGAAGAGCCCACAGACAAATGGAGCATGAAAAGGTGTCATCAGTCAAGGAAAACCAGTTTTGGCCCCTGCTGCTGCCGCCTTCCCATCCCTTACCCAGCAGTCCCCAGGCAGCAGGAGGCTCTCCTAGGACAGAAGCTCCCTCTTGCACCCAGACTGCTCCCACCCCGGCTGCTAGGGAGCCACAAAGATAGTGGTCAGCACTTACTCCTTCCGGGCTGGGTCCCACCCAGGCTCCTGATCCTTTACAAAGAGACTGGTTAGTCCCCGGTCACCCGTCCGCCCAAGGGGGCTTTTCCCGTCACCGAACACTGATGGGGATCCGACTGTCACTCCGACCTGCAGTTACCCCGCCAGCCCAGGGAGAATGCTGATGTTCCTGGCATCCCTGCCTCTTCCACCCTAGGCCTGTCCCTAGAAGGCCTCCAGCTGGTAGGGGAGTGGCTCCCAAGGTGGGGTAGCCTGGGTCCTGCAGACACCGAATCTCTGAGATCGCGCAAGTTGCGCAGCCACACCCCCTTGGTTCCCCACCCCGGAGCCACCCTCCACGCATGCGCAGCCGCCTCTCCCCACCCAGGCACTGGCCTGAGTCGGTTATTGACAGACACACATTTTGAAGCCAGTGCCCCACCTCCACCACCACCCGCCCTCCTTGCTCCCATCTGTACCTCCAGTTGGTCCGAGCCCCGTGCTCATTTCACACTGTGTTTGGATCCCAGGGGCGGCCAGACTCCCTGAACCACCCATTCATCACCTCAATAGCCGGCCCTGCCCCGGTGGGCCCCTGGAAGACAGCTGGAGTCACCCTGCCCAGCCGTGGGGTAGAGGGAACAAAGCCCCGGTTCACAGGGCCCTGCCCTGGGCTACACAGCCCGCTCCACACAAAGCACAAATGGAAGCCGCGCTGAATGTATTAAACTCTAACCCCTTCGACCAGAACAGCAGCTCGGAGAGAAAAGATGGGCTCAGGAGAGGGAAAGGGCTGAGCCGGGGTGGAGGCGGGGCTGTAGGGCTCCAGTGGCCGCTCCAGAAACAAGGCCGAAAAGGAGCGCTGGCAGGTTTCCTGTAGGCCCGGCCAGGCCAGGTACCTCACCTGCACCACCCACGTGCTCATCACCTGGAGGGCGGGAACACCATCCTTCGGGGTGCACAGATGAAGAAAGTGAGGCTGGGAGAGGGTAAGGCTGTTGCGAGGCCGGCCTGGCAGGGCTGTGCGCCCAGGCTGGCTCACTCTCCCAGAGCCCCACGTGAGCCATTATTGAATCCCTTTTATAGAATTTATGAGACCTGGCCTCTGAGAGGTTTCTTGCCAAAGTCTCGCATTAAGTAGGTGGCAGGAGAGAGAAGTGAATGTGAGATCAGGAGTGACTCTGGAAGCAAGCTCTCACTCCCTCTGTCCACAGGGTCCCGTGCAGGGCTGGCCCAGCCTGGACCAGGTTGTTAGGCAGAGGCCCAGGGGCTTAGGGGCATCCACTACTCCAGCTCCCCACCCCCCCACCCGACCTTCTCTGCCCTGAACCCAGGCTCCTGGCCTTGGCAACTCTCTTGGCCAGTTCTCTAACCTCAGAAGCAAGATGGCAGGAAAGGAAGTGGGCACAGGGCGCTGGAACCGTCTGGCACCAACTGGGTGCCTCTGAGCCCAGGACTCCAGCCCTTCACAGTCGGCCTGGGGCTGAGGCCTTTATTTTGATCCCATCCTCACCCACAGACAGAAGTTGTCCCTTCCTGGGCCTTAACAGACGTTAAAATTCATCTCCCCATGTTTGCTCCGAAGGAGAGGGGCGGGGAGGCAGCAGGCACTGAGCTTGGCTTTCTAATGGAAGTTGGATGGATGGGATTTGTCCAGGTGTCTCCCCTGTTTATCATGAAGATTGTTTATTAACCCAAATGGAGGGCCTGAAATGGGTGAACACTGCCAGAGATGCTGAATCACCCAGCACTGCTGGGAAGTGCATGCTGTTTGTTGGGTGGGGGGAAAAAAGACCATCACTTATCTTTCCTAAGAAGTTGCCCTTTTAGAAAGAAACATTTTTTGTCTCAGAAACTGCTTGCCAGCCTTTAAGGCCCGGAATACTATCAGCTCTTTCTGCAGGTCTTCTCATTCAGTGGAGAATTTTGCACGTTTTTTAGTGGGACAACCTGGGGATGGGTATAGAACGTCCATTTCCTGTTAGCAGCAGCATGAAAAGTAACCTCAGATGGCTGTGTGTATGCATGCTCAACCCTGTTCGACTCTTTGCATCCTCAGGGACTGTAGCCTGCTAGGCTCCTCTGTCCGTGGGATTTTCCCTTCTGCAGGGGATCTGCCTGATTCAGGGATTGAACCCAGGTCTCCAGCAGGCGGATTCTTTACCACTGAGCCACCTGGGAATCCCAATCTCAGCTGGTTGCCCCCTTACAAATCTTTCTCCTTGTCTTTGGATTTCTGTTTGCCTTTATATTTACTAAAGGTACACCTCATACTAGAGAAATTTCTCAGGTCACTGGGAACCTACGATTACTATAACGATAGTGTAAAACCTCAGTAGTACTTCAGAGGCCTGGGCTTCTGAACTGGTTGTGCAACTCCTGCCCGCCCCCTACAGCCGTGGGATGGGGGTGGGGGGACTGAGTTGTTTTGTTAAAAACATTCAGAAGCTGTAGTCCAGATAACCCTCTGCCCACAGTGGGGCTGCAGATAACTGAGAGTGGGTTGTAAAAGTAAGTAATCAAAAGACATCTCATTTTTACAAGTTAAAGTTGCTTTCATGCTAATAAAGCAAGATGACTTGCCTGGGGTTTGAACTGGTGCAGAGAGGGAATTTGATGAACCAGCCTCCCCCTCACCCTGGCAGGGCAGGGTTCCCTGCTCCCCACCCCATCCCTGCTCCCCATTCTGAGAGCCCATCTTGCCTGGAGGCCAGCGGCTCTCCAGGATGGTGGGATGGGGTTCCCCTCCATGGTGTGTGGGGAATCCGGGCCCAAGGGATTGTCGACCCTCTTCTTGACAACTCACTGGTTCTCTTTCCCTCCGGTGCCTTCCAGGATGACATGACTGACTCCCTGCGCGATTACACCAACCTGCCCGAGGCTGCCCCCTTACTCACCATTCTGGACATGTCAGCCCGGGCCAAGTACGTGATGGACGTGGAGGAGATCACCCCCGCCATTGTGGAGGCCTTTGTGAATGACTTCCTAGCAGAAAAGCTCAAACCAGAGCCCATCTAGTGGGGCCCCAGCTTCCCGGGACCTTATTTAAAACTCATTCTTTTCCTCCCCCTCTCCCCCCTTCCCGTCGCCCTTGGACTTTTCCAGCGTGTTCCGAATCACACAACCCAAGTGTCCACCCTCTCTGTGGTGCCTTGCTTTCTGCATTAACTCCTCAGCTAGCACCCTAGGGTGTGCATCCTCTCCAGCAGCAGAAGAACCCACCGTGTTTGGAGACTCTGCTCCGGGATTCGTGGGGCTGGCGTGACCCGGCCAGAATGAGGGCTGCGGCGCGCTCTCGTCGCTAGCTCTGGGTGAGGCATTTTGCGCGCCCCCGGGTGTTCTTCCGCCAAGTGGGCACAGACCTTGGGTGCGCCAGCTCTGCCTCGGGTGCTAGAGCACATGCGCAGAGCCCCTGCGGCTCAGAGCCACGCGCGCGCTCAGGTGGAGCCGGGCGGGGGCGCGGCCCCGGAGGTCTCTGCGCAGAGCTGCTGCCCATCGGCACAGCCTTTCCTCAGTGACTTGGTCTGTCTTGACCTGAGGAGAAAAACACCAGCTTGTCAGTCGGTTTCTTGGGCAGGGGAGGAGCTCAAGCTCTCAAAGGAAACTTGTGTTCTTTTCTGATGAGAGAAAGAGTAGCTACAGTAATGGTTCACGTAGTAATTGCTTACTTTGATGGAGCGCCTCCCGTGTGGTAAGAAAGAGCTGCTTCTTCCTTCCTTCGAGCTCTTTCTCCCTTGATCGTGACCTCCCCCCAGTTTCTGCCTTCTCAAATGGACAGCCTCTCCCATTTAGAATGTTGTTAGTAAGTTCTCCCCGTTGGCCATCTTCCCAAGAAGAGGCAGTGGACCTGCATTGCCAGAAGAGCACCGTGCCCCCAGCGCCCTGTGGCTTTGGGCCTGGGGCCCCTGGAGCCTCTGCCCACCCTTGGTTACCCCTGCGTTCCCTTTTCTTCTCAAAGCAGAACTTTTAAAAAGAGACAAGGAATTGCCAGAAGCCTAGCTTTTTCCTAAGAACCTGCAGAAAGGGCTGTGCCCTAGGGAGTGCAGGCTGAGGACAGGTCAGCTTAAAAATGGGCCCTGTGTTGGCTCTGCTGGGCCCAGCTCAGCTCCGTCTTTGGGCTGAACTGACCACAGAAAGGAAACTAGCAGCTGTGCTCTTACGATTTGGGGTTGAAGGCTTCCCCGGGTTTCAGTCTGTCTCAGTCAGGCGTCAGGGCCTTTCGGATCATCTCAGGCCTCACCTCTGGCTCCACCCACAGCCAGCCAAGACCGTTTATTTGGAAAACCCAGCCCCTTCCAATTAGCTGTTGACAGCATTGCTTCTTGCTGAGTGGGATTGTTCATTTGTAGTTCAGAGGGACAAGTTGAGTTGGTCATTAGACTATTACTGTTACCAGCCTGAAATGCAATCACCTAGAAAGAAATAAAACAGGCATCTCTGGACGTTATCAACCATTTGGCCTGTCCTGTCCTTCATAACAAAAATCTTCTGGCTTGTACTGTGCTCCGTGGGGTTGGCGGTGAGGGGATGGGTGGCACATACAAGATCCTCTTGACTTTCACTGGATACTTGGCAGCCGTGCTTCAGGATTTTTGAGAACCAAACCCTAACGTGGTCATCTGTCGAATCCTTCAGAAGCCAGGATGCTCGTTTGGATGAGGGTGCCAGAGGCAGATCCCGGCTGGAGCTCTGGCCACCATCTCTTGGGGTTTGACTTGCCGTGGCAGGGGGTGAAGTCTAGATGACAGGCATCCTTATGGACTCATGCTCATTCCCCCTCCACAAGGGAACATATGCTCAGAGAGCCTGAGAAGGCCAGTTGGAGAAACACAAGGAGTCTCGCAGGGGTCCTCCTGTGAAGAATGAGGTTGGAGACCCTCAAACCTGGCTCTGTCCAACCCCCTAGGACTAGGGGCTGCTCCAGGAGACCTGCCAGTGTCTCCCTGGGGAGATGGGAGGGTGGGGACAAGATGAAGTCAACCTCACTTGGAGGATAGTTGGGATTTCTGTCTCTGCCCTGTACCATGATGGCCTTGGAGGAAAGGTGGTCTCTCAGCAGCTACTTATTTTCTGAGGCAGAAGGAACAAAATCCAGTGAGGAGTCCTCATAAGTCATTGCAGCAGAAAAATGAGGTCATCTATGATCCTTCTATGCCCATTCAGGGCCAACTGTACTTGCCACTAATGTCAACTGGACCCACAACACCAGAATTCCCCGCTTGAAGGGAGTGTGGCGGTTAAGATCAGTGGGAAGTTTTACTAAAAAGGTACTTCTGGTTTATACAGTGGCAACTTTAAGGGGAAATGCCAGGGGAGTCACTTCGCCAGTGAAAAATCTCTATAGTGCAAGATGCTAGAGATCTTAAAGGGTATTGATGCAGACGAAGTGGGTGGTTTCTTAATTTCTACTAAATAGCTCCAAAATACCTTAAAATTCGCTAATTAGAAGCAGGTTAAAACACCAGCTGTGACATATTCAAGGGCTTCCGCCAGCAGCAAAGGAAACCGGGCCCTGCAGCTTGGAACAGGATGGTGGCTGTAAAAATGCCACCCTGGGGTTACAAGTCTGTGGTCACCACAATGACTTCCAGATCTGATTCTACCCCCTCCCCTTTTTTTTTTTAACTTCAACAGTAAAGATCTCTTTAAGAAAAAAAGAAAGGTATGTTTGGGGGATAGGTATGTATGTATGTGTTAGTCACTCAGTCGTGGTGGACTCACCCCATGGACTGTAGTCCACCAGAATCCTCTGTCCATGGAATTCTCCAGGCGAGAATACTGGCATGCATGCCCAGGCACTTCAGTCACGTCCAATTCTTTGCGACCCGATGGACCATGGCCCACCAGGCTCCTCTGTCCATGGAATCCTCCAGGCAAGAATACTGGAGTGGGTAGCCATTCTCTTCTCCAGGAGAATCTTCCCCACCCAGGGAATCAAACCCGAGTCTCCTGCATTGCAGGCGGATCCTTTGCCATCTGAGCCACCAGGGGAGTCCAGGTATGTATAGCAGGTAGCTGTAAAAGCCGGAGGGTGACTGAGAACCACCTTCTCTTCCAGGAGCAGGGTAAGGGGGCTGCTTGCCTCCCCTAGCCTCAAGTGTGTCCTCAGAATCAGTGCCTCCCACTTATCCGAGCACAGGGAGTCTGTTCTGCTGTTTTTGGCATCAGCCAAGCTTCAAGTGGTAATCTTCAGCCAGACTGTGTTTTTTCCTGTTGCCTAATTAAAGACACTAAAAAGCTGTTGTCTCCTCCTGGTGCCTTGTTGCGGGGCAGCAAAGGGAATTCTGCAGCGATAGAGACATAGTAGAGCATGCTGGACCCGGTAAGGTCACCGGAGGGAGAAAGCTACCCACACGCACAGGCGTGTCCACCTGGGGAGGCCTTGGAATGGCAGCTCTGGGAGGGGCCCGAGTGAGTTCCTGGTCCAGCCCCTCCAGGGTGCCCGCATTCTGTTTCACTGTGAACCCCCACCCCTCCCTGGGCAGGCCCCTGCTTGCCTGCCAGGACCAGGACCTCAGCAGGACAGAAGTGAGGGATGTGGGTTGTGGCAGTGCCCCTGCAGCTTCTCTCCAGATGCTGCTGTGTGGACCGAGGATGGGATGGAGCTCAGGATCTTCCATTCACCCTGAAGCAGCTGTGTCCAGTGAGCCCTAAACCTAAGTCCCTCGTTGCTCAACAGTAACCCCTGTTGAGCGCCCACTGCTTCCCTCCAAGCAGGCTGCTCAAGGGGAAGTTCTCTGCAGACAGATGGCTATTGTTTTTTAGCTTCATTATTGGTTATTCATTATTAGTAAGTAGTGCATTGTGAGGAGGGAATGTTTTCCAGGAAACAGTAGGCTCAGACGTAGGGAAGTATGATATGGAGTCTACTCTATGGCTGGGATTTCTCCTACTGGAGGAAGTCTGACATCAGGATGTTCTAGATATACCTTTAGTGTGAAAGCATGAAGAGAGGTCATTATGCTTCATTGTTCAGCCTGTGTCCCACCCCCTGGGCCTTCTGGAATACTTTCCCAAGTCAGGAAATGTGTGACTAGATTTAGGTAGGATGGTTCTGAGGGGCTGTTGGGTTTCCATGCAATCACGTGCCTCCTCCTGAAAGCCTCTGTCCCTCAGGCCAGTGTGCAGCCAGCCTCACATATGATTCCTTAGTTGCCTCACACAACTAAGCCAACCACACGGGGCTAGAAGTGGGATACAGGAGGAGGCATGGTTAGGACCCAGGCCCCCAAACCAGATCGCCTTTGACATCAGAGGATATGAACTCCCCAGCTAGCCGAACCACTCTCCGGGCCTGCAGTCACAGAGGGGCAAGCAAGGCTGGGAGGCCAGACCCTGCTGCAGCCTCATCTCGTCAACCTGTATTCTCTCCTTGCATTCTGAGGCAGCAGCAGCTGTGGGGATGGTCCGCTCCACCTCTGTGGTTCAAACCGTAAAGAATCTGCCTGAAATGCAGGAGACTGAGGTTTGATCACTGGGTCAGGAAGATCCCCTGGAGAAGGACATGGCAACCCACTCCAGTATTCTTGCCTGGAGAATCCCATGGACAGAGGAGCCTGGTGAGCTACAGTCCATGGGGTCACAACTGAGTGACTAGCTCTAGCACCTCTGCAACCTCAAGGCCTCAGCTGAAAAAAGTTGCTCTTCCCTACAAATGTGGCTAGGACAGAACTGACACCATTGCTATGTGCAGATTTTTGGTACACGTGCTTTGGGCAGCGTCCTGGCTTCCTGAGGCTTTCAGTGCTTGCAGCAGCTCCAAGGTAACTGGGGACCCTGGGTCAGGGACTGTCAAGTCACCCACAGCAGCACATCAGCTTGTCTGTTCATCTGGCTTCTAGCATTATTTCCTTTGCATGTTCATTGATGTAAAGTAAGATCTTGGAGTTAAAAGGTGTTTACATGAGTGTTTTCTTTAAAACACGTTTTCCAGGTGAGCCAGGCAGGTCAGCTCCCACAGAGGGTGGAGGCTGCTTGGCCAAGAGGGGTCCACAGTACAGCAGATGGTTTTCAGTACCAGCCAGGATTGTGGTGCTGTTTCTGGGGTCTTCGAGTGATGTAGCAAAAAAAGTGGAGCTAAAGGCAGCTCAGCTTGTGGTGACATCTGGTGGTGTTAATAACCCTGGGGAACATGCTAGGAGGTCCCAGGTGAAACTGGTAGAAACCAGTTCCCCAAGGTTGGCTTATCCTCTGGGCCTTAATGACTTTTCCCTTAATTGGCATGTAATTGCTTAACACTGCTGTTTCTGGTACAGCAAAATGCATCAGCCATACGTATGCATATCCCGTTCCTTGGATTTCCTTCTCATTTAGGTCACCACGGAGCGCTGAACAGAGTTCCCTGTGCTATACAGTAGGCTCTTATATATGTTTGTCCATCTACCAATTCATCCCATCCGCCCTTCCCGCTTTGGTATCCATAGGTTTGTCTGTGAATGACTGAAATTCTAAGGTGCGATAGCAACTGAGGCTGGGGAGGGGTAAGGGCTTTTATGCCTCCCGTCTTGAAACTCCTAGAGGGCGAGGCGGTGGGTTCCCAATGGATGTTCCAGGCACCTGGGGACATCAGCATTTACTGAGAGCTGCTTTCCCAGAGGCTCCATTCAAAGGAAAAAGATGTGCTAGTTTTTTTCTGTAGCAGCTGCTTCCTGTTTCTGTACATTTCCTCCTTAGTTTTTGGTCCAACTTTCTATATTTTAAGATTTTTACCGAGAATGAATGACAGTGTGGATGGATCTCCCACTGCAGCAACTCTGAGCTTGCCACAGGCTCAGGGTGGTGGAGGGAGACTTGACTCCAATCTCCTGATCGCAACAACTTGCAGCGAGGCGAAATCCCCACCCCCTCCCTTCAGCGTTGGGAGTCGTTTTGAGGTGTGATTGCCCCCTTGTGGCAGATCCCACCACTACAGCTACGTGCAGCACAAAGGTAAGGGGCAGCTTGGCCAACCTTCTGAAGCTCTGAAGCCTTCTTTCAGCCGAGCAATGTGCTGTTCAGTTTTCATCCCTATTTCCTGGGGAAATGGTGACATAAATATTGGTAAAAAAACTGAGAAGGATTCAAGATAGCTAATTTCCATCAGTAGGTAAAAAACTTCACCACCACTTGCTCCCCCATGATCATTTAAAAGGAAAGACTGCCCCTTCCCTCTGCTAAATTATGCCCAGAAATATATAAAGAACTCACAAGGCATGGTATACAAGTCTTTGATCATAAAGTGCAGGGGACGCAAATTTTTCCTTCTTACACCCAGGGTGATAAAACCAGCGTAGAATGACTTGCCAGGTATGCTCTTTTGCAGTGCTGTTTTTCTGAACAAAGACAAGATCTGGGGTGTGTTGTTCTTTCATTGGTTTTTATTTTGCAACAAAAATCAGCAGGGACAAAAACCCAGGGATAAAAATAAGAGGAGCCTCATTTCAGTGATGTATGTTTCTTTAGCACTTTTCCAGGGTGCTGGGAGACGTCAGTAGAGTGGTATTGTTCTCTGGGTTGCCCCCACCACCACCATTTCACCTGCAGATATTATGGCTGTGAAGCTGGCAGAGGCCACATGCAGCCTTTGTGGGCTCAGCACAGTACAAAGGCTGTGGGCTCTTCTAGTTTCTAAAGGCTGACGGGATAGACGCTCTCAAGAACATTCCAGGAGCCGCTATCGCCCAACATTTATGTGGGGCCCCGGGCAGGTCCAGACCAGAGCAGCTTCCAGCCTGTCAGCCTGAGATAGCACAGCCAACCGAAGAGATTTTTCCCGCAAAACCCACTCCTCCCCAACATAACAAAGCAGTCCCACCAAGGCCACATAAGGCACAGCCATGCATGACCTTTTGGCTTTACCAGGGACCTGGGCGAGGTGAAGGGGTTGGGAGAGGTCCCCAGTTTCTCTGGGGCATGCTGTAACTCATTGGACCTCCTCGTGACGAGCAGCTGAGGGGCTCCCAAGGAACCCCAATCAAGGCAGGAGCCACCGTATGGAAGGGAGGTGCTCACACTACACTGCTAGCATCTCAGTCTTCAACCATATTCTCTGTGGCTGCAAAAACACTGCTTAAAAGTCGGTCCCATACTCTAGTCCCACCCCCTGCTTCCCACAGTGACTTACAGTGATCGCCACCTGCCCCTGCCCTCATGTCCCTGGCTACATCCCACTGGCGCTCAGTAAGGATTCAGCCTGCCCTGGCTTAAGAACAGCAGGGTCTTGCTGCCAAGCTGTGGGCTCAAGAGCCCCGAGCGTTCATCCCCAGAACTTCCGCCCCTCTCCCGTGCAGGAGCCTCTGTTCACACAGCACCAAGAACACTGGTGTTCTGTTTATGCTGGACGAGGGGTTAACGTAAACAAGTCATTCCATTTAACCAAAAGGGTTACACAAAGCAGGACTAACGGCAGGAAGCTCTTACAAAGAGGATGGCTTTGTTGAGAGATGCAGGGTTAAGCTGAAGATTTAAAAACTCTTTTTTCCTTTTCTGAACCAAGAGTCTTCAAAAAGATATCTGCAGAGATGCTAAGAAGGTATAATACCAACTGATGAATTCAGCTGTTTCACCAGAAACGGGGGGAAAAAACTGTGTCATACATAAACAGTGTCTAAGTCATGGCCTGAATGAGTAATCAAAGAGATTAACACAGCTGAGCCAGAAGAACCACTGTTAATACTCCTGAATGCCATCACCTGTACCCTTAGCTTCCTGGGTCATTAATCTCTCAGCAATGTCCTCACCACTAGGCCAAAGATGAAAAGATGGGTGTTGAGACCCACTGACCACACTGAAATAAATAAAGCATTTTAACATAATCTTCTGGTCCGCACTTCACAGGGGCTCACTCTCCATTGACCAATGATCAGAGGAGTAAGTGACCATGCCTGGTCACTCTAACAGCCCTCCCTGACCGCAAACACCTGCAGTTGTGGAGGGAGGAGTCCTCCTGCCCAAGATGATGCCTTTAGCAACTTTCTGGGCACAAAGATGTTCTTTGGTGGACAATTTTTAAAACATAAGAGCCATGAGGAGCACTTACTTCTGCTGTCTTTTACGCACCCACACACATATATAAAAACCAGTGGGAAGATGGGAGACCTCAGGAGGAATTTTGACCTTATTTTTGAGGCTGAGCAGAAAGTCATGGAAGTTCTTATTTTTCCAATAACCACAGAGACAACGTCAAGCTGAGGATGGCTTCCACACGCTGTCCTCTCAGTGTTAATGCCTGTCCCTGCTCAAGTGTTCTACCCTCTCCCGCAGCTGTCTTTTGCCTTCAAAGAGCAGGATGCTCGCGGCCATGGCTGAATTCAGGCTGTCCACGCCGGGCACGACGGGGATCAGCAGCCTCCCGCCCCCTGTGCTCTCAGCCAACTGCAGGGACTCCAGGCTCACGCCGTGGGTCTCCCCACCTATCACCACGGCCGCCGGCGCCTCTGTCCAGTCTGAGTCGTAACTCTGGACCTCAAGTTTAGGGAGCCAGTCTTGACTCTCTCCACTCTCTAGATCATCCTCCTCTTCCTCATACTCATGAAACTTCAGCGGGCGCTGGTCACGTACCCAGCCGTAGTCACTGGCCTTGTTAGACCCCTGGGCCTGGGCCTGCGTGTGAAGGCCACAGTTGTCGGCCACGTAGACGCGGGCATCAGCAGGCAGGTGGTCGGGCACCGCCTCCCAGTCCAGGTTGTTAATAATGGGCACCTGGAAGTGTGCGCCCATACCCGCCCGCAGCACTTTGGGCTCCCAGGCGTCCACGCAGCCTAGCAAATGAAAGAGGATCCAATTAAGATTACGAACCTGCCCAGACAGGGGAATTTGAAGGAAGTCAGATTAATTCTGGATCAGGATAAAGCAAAAATGTCCTATCATGGCCTTGGTGGCTGGGACCTCTACCTCCCCAGCTGTAGCAGCGTCCAGCTGAAAACAGATTTTATTCATTCCTTCAACATTCACCACACAGAATTCCCTGGCAGTCTAGTGGTTAGGACTTCATACTTCCACTACAAAGGAGCATGGGTTGGATCCCTCATCCGGGAACTAAGATCTGGCAAACCATGCGGCATGACCGAAAAAAAAAACCTCCCACACATGCCAGACATTTGGACAGGAGATGGGAGAGCCTTAAAATCCCCAACCTCAAGGAGCTTGTAATAAGAGCGGGCAATGGTGTTGGGACGACATTTCAGCAGGTGACTGTATTATCAGTAACAACTAAAGTTAAAAAAGCATGAACAGGGTTAACAGAAAACCATTGTACACAGCATGGCAATCAGGGAAAAACCACCTGGAGAACACGATGCTGACCTGGATCGTGAAGGACAGGAGCATCTTGTCAGGGAAAGACCAGAGCAGAGGAGAGTTATAGAAGCAGCAATTAGTCCAAACACTGGAAGTATGATAACTGAGTCAATTAATGGGGATGAGGTGGGAGATGAGCCAGGAGGCAGGAAAGGACCAGTTTAAAGGAAGCTGGTGTGCCCAGCCGAGGGGTTTAGGGTTTCACCCAGAAGACAACATGTCACCAAAGCAGTTTAAGCAAAGTAGGAACAGAATCTGGTTTATATTTTAGAAAGATCCATTTGGCTTCAATGTTGAATCTGGACTGGAGCAAGAAAGACACTATTAATGGGGAAATTACAGCAATCCTGGGAAAAACCAAGGCCAGAGCCCTATCCTGCACACACCCTGTCTTTGCAGTCGTGCTAAACACAACTGCCTCCATGCATCAGCAGACACATAGCCCTTTCCAGTGCCACAGGCCAGGAGACAGTAGGACTGGGGCACCGCATATCTACTACCCTCCCTAACTTGTTAGCACACATCTCCTCATTATAAGTTATCTTAAAAGTTAATCTGTCAAACTTCAGGAAAGGTTAAGTAGGCAAACCAAGTTCAAAAAGGAAAAAAAGACGTGGAGAAGGTAACACTGTCTACGTGGGTCCCCAACCACAGGCTCTCCTGAGAACCGTGGGAAACGGGCTGGGAGGTGGGCTGTGTGCCAAGAGGCTGGCAGTCGGGGCAGAAGAGGTGCCTTCTAGTCTGACTTCTCCACCCAGTCAGGATTAAGGGACAAGCTAAGATTCCTCCTCATCCTCGGGTCCTCTATGTTGGGCATCACATCAGGTGTTCCCCGCCTTTCTCTACCTCTCCCATACCAGCCACCAGCAACAATGTGGCAACTGCCTGCCTAGGTGATACACGTCCATTTCCCCAAATTTCACACTTGCTCTCAGAGCTCTCAACAGTGAGGCAGGTGAGCGGGGTATGAATGTAGGGACTCCAAGTCTCACTTTCATGCTGGCAGAGAGATGCACCCCAGGGAGGGGTGATGGGGGGAAAGAGCTGGGAAGAGCAATATAGGCGAGTCTTAGTAATGGGACCACTTCTGTTTACACTGAATGGCAGCTTCACTGTTTCTGATGGACAATCCTCTCCCTCCTCCTCCTTCCAGGTTGCAATAGGTCTGTTAGGCATGTCCCAACTGTCAGGCAAGGCTGTTTGGAACCAAGGCTACAAATTTCTCCTTATGATGAAAGGACAGAACCAAGTGTTAAAACTGGCATCTATTTCTTCCCTAATTAATTTTAAGTTCTTTTAAAAACCTAGCAGGTGTCAAAATAATTTTAAAGATAATCAACAAGAATGAGCGTGCCAGGCATGGTGCTGAGTACTTGACATTCATCTCACTTAATCCTCAGAACAACCCTACAAGGTAGATCTGTTACGCCCGCTTTACAGATAAGGGAACTGATGCTCGCAATGCTGCTCACTTACACAGAGCTACCAAGGGATAGATCCAAGAACCAAATCCATACACATCTGCCCCCGGAGCCAGCTCACTTACAAACAGCCACCTAATCCACCCAGTAACAGGCAATCTTACCTTTGGTGAGTAACACTTTGCTGCAGCCTGCCCCAGCAGCAGATCGCAGAATTGTCCCTAGGTTCCCAGGGTCACGGAGATTGTCACAAATCAATGATATGGGCAGTGTGTGGCGAAGCTGAGTCTCGGGGTATGTCATCTTAACATGGTCAGGTTTGGCAAAAATCCCTGAGGAAACAAGAAAGGTGGTTCATTTGTCTGATGTGGGTATGGGGAGTAATTTGACGTTTTGGTTATTTATCAGTCTTGGTGTATTTGTAATTACATATTACATGTAAACATTCTGGTTGGAAAAATTCAGTATGCCCCCCCCCCGACTCCCTCATAAGTGCTTTCAATAGTGGAATGTATGCTTTTAGAACTTCTTCCATGCACTTCCCTACATATATGTCCATCTACCCATATATAAGTGCTTTTTCTTTTGTAGTAAAATCACACTCTATGTAATTATTCTGTAATCTAGTTTTTTTTTTTTTTTTTGGTCACACTTAAGTGGCTTTCAGGATCTTAGTTCTCCCACCAGGGAATGAACCTGGGCCCACAGGCAGTGAAAGCACCAAGTCCTAACCACTGGACTGCCAGAGAATTCCCAACATTTTCTTAAGTTCTAACTGGACATTAAAGGTTGAAGTGACCCCCAAAATATAAGGTCTGAGGAGTGATTATTCCCTACAGACTATAAAAACTCACAATACAAATGATGACAGAAAACTGGCTTCAGTTTCTACTTAAAATACAAGATTCACAGATTTGGAAACTGTGCTGTAAGAAAAGGTTAGGTGCAGTAGTATTTTGAATTTCATCTAAATTTGTTGCCCTGAAACAAGTATGAACAAATAATCCCAAGTCTCCCCTTCTACAGACACATTGAATAACCACTGACCCATTATTCCCTGTGGTGTTACCAGGTCGGACCAATCCTTGATATCCTCAAATTTCACCTTAATGAGGCGAACAGCTTTCAGCTTTTCAATGGGCAGCTCCTTTATGTATTCCAGACGGCTAAAGAAGAAAACTTTCGGCACAGCACCAGCCTTGAGAGCGTCTGCAATCAGCCTACGACCTTCCAGAAGGATCTTCCCCTGCTTTTCTCGAAATGGCCTGGACTTAACTATGGTCATCACACTGCTGTGGGTGCAAACAAAAAGATGCGTTAATTACCAACATCCTTATTATGGAGACACATCGAGCTCGAGCAGACATGAAGAGCTTCGCAGGGAAAAAAACAAACGAACTGTTAGAAAGACACTTATTCTGCCCTCTATGCATAATAAAAACCAGCGAGGTGTGCTGCACGAAGTCCTCCAACGCAAGGAAAGAGGTCAAGGTCTCGCTTTGAGGAGGGAGGAGAAACGAGAAAACTCGACAAGCCTCGGGAACACATCACCTCAGCCTTTTGTCTCCAGGGAAAGCCTTATCATAGCGAAGCCCCGACTCTTCCCAGGTGCTGAGCGTCTGAGATGCTGGCCCCTGAATCTGCTGCTTCTGTCGCTGCTCCCGGGGACTGGCCTCAGCCGCCTTCCGAGGCTGTTTCTCGGGATCGAGCTGCTGTTTCTCGGGATCGAGCTTCCGTTTCACAACCTCACCAGATGGAAACAGCACTTTCACAGGGCTCCGCCGCAGTGCCCGGACCCAGCGCCGCGCATCGAAGTCCCAAGCCTGCACCACCGGCAGCAACGGTCGCGTAGCCCATCCCACGCGCTTCATCAGCGCCGCCATCTTCCCCCGCCCCGTGGGCTGCGTCACGAAAACGCGCCGGCGGCGGCCAGTGACATCGCTAACGCGCCGGCGTCAGCTGTGGTTTGTGCGCCGCTCTGCGCGTGACCGGCGGTAGTGTAGGTGGTCATGGCGAATCGCAGAGCTTTGCACTTCGTGTTCAAAGTGGGAAACCGCTTCGAGACGGCGCGTTTCTATCGCGATGTCCTGGGGATGAAGGTGCAGGCGGGGCGGAGAGGGGCTGGAGCGGGAGGGGGGCGCGAGTGACTGAACCCCACCTGGCCGAGGGAGGAGAAAGGGGTGCGAAGTGAATTTCACCGCGAACCCGGGTGTCGGACCTTAGCCGCAGGACTTCCCATTAACTCTGTGGTTTTCAGGTTTAGGAAGCATCACGAATTGCGGCTTGGGTTAGATGGACTTTGAAAGGGGGCTCACACTTACTAGTTGCCGACTATGTGCGCACACAGGTCCTTTCAGTTTAAGTTCTTTCACGAAATGTTTATTCCTGTCTCTGCGAAGTTTCCAGTCTGTGGGAAAGATAGTAAATAAAAGGTTACGTAATACTCTTCCAGTAAACAATGACTCTTCTGATTTGGAGCCTTTTGGTTTTAGATACCAGCATAATTTAGAGCTCTACTTCTCTTGGGGCTGGTTTGAATGGATCACTCAGTCTAGGTGAACGCTCCAGTTCGTCTCAGAAGTGTGAAATCAGAACCCATTCTCCTTTCCAATACCTGGAAGTGGCATCTCTCCCGCTGTGATTCTGCAGAGATCACCTGGGTGGCAAGCACAGGTGCAAGCTGTTGGAAGGCTCCTGCTACGCAGGGAGTTGAGATGTTGTCAACTGAAAGAAAAATTAACAACATAAAAAAAAAAAATTAACAACCTAAGATTTTTGAGTTAATTTTTATTTGGGGACCTTCCTAAGGACTCTAATGTAGAAGACAGCCTCTCGATAGCTCTGAGGAACTGATCTGAAAAGGCAAGGGAGGAGCTAGAAGGTATATGAGTTTTTTGCTTGAAGATGGGGAAGAACCCAAAACCATGTAGGAACATCAAAAGATCACTGCTAAGCACAGAAATAGACAGCTGAAGTTAATGGTTTTAGTGCTTTTCTGTGCGTGGGAAAATGGGTTCTGAGTACCTTGAAATTCTTCCTTAGAAATGCATCTTAAATGTCTAGGACCAGTATCCAAAAGCAGAGAATGCTTCTTGTTATTTTTCCATCCTGAATTCTCCTCAGGGTGTTCTGTTGGTGAGGGACTGCATTAGCTGTGGGTTTGATCCTTGTTGAAATGAAATTGCAGGCAACATTGTTTACAATGTGCAAGAGTAAGAGGTAATGTAGAGACACTGCAGAGTACAAAGGGAATTACCTAAAATCATCAGTCATTTAAAGAATATCACCTATTTCATGGTTCTGTTTTGGGCTTTGGTGACAAAAATGAAAATGACCCTGTCATCTGTCCTCAGTTAAGATCCTGGTTTGAAAAAAAAAAAAAAAAGATCCTGATTTGGTGGGAATTGTATTTGTACATTGCAGATAGTAATGGAAGTTAAAATGTGGTGATAGAAAACCACAAAACACTCTCTCAAAGTGTTTCCTCATTGATTAAAGGGTGTTTGTAAAGATTAAACGTTATTATATATGTAGTATTTGACATGTGGTTTGTATTATGTGTTAGCTATCATTATTATAAAAGTACCAAGAGGAGAGATTTAACTCTGACCTGGGTCCTCAGGAAATAATTCATAGAGACCTTGTACTTGAGTTGACCCTTAAAGATAGGATTTCCACAGGCCTAGATTAGAGGTCTGAACAGCTAATGCACGATTAAGATATGTTTGGGAAGCGTCACTAGTTTTACGTGCCTTTAGCTTAGATTACTTAGTTGAAGTTGAGGAGATGGGATACCAGGACAAACAGGTTGGAATTGCTTCTTATAGTATCTTGAATAATATGCTGAGGAATTTGGATTTTATGTCATAGTAAATGGGGAGCTCTCTCACATTTTGGAACAGGGCAGTGATGTGATCAGAGCTGTGCTTTAGGGGCTTACTTTTATGGTGGTTTTAAGGAAAGATCAATAAGGGTGATTTCTGATAGTCTGTGATGAGAACTTGAACTGGAGCAGTAGCTGTGGGGCTCAAAAAGGAAAATGGAAACTGACACATTGAGAGCGTACTGTGTAGTAGGTCTGTGTCAAATGCTTTAATAAATTATCTATTTTCATAAGATATTAGACTCAGATCCTAATATGTCGTTCTCAGAGTTACACAACTGAAACCGTTTGATGTCATTTCAGGGTGCCCCAATGAGCTCCCGGTACCCTAGTCCTTTATGTCTCCATGCAGGAAGAATTCAACCAGAGCCAAAGTGATAGGGAAGAAGCAGTTTATTAGAATAGGATGCTTTTGACGTTTACAAGCAGGCGGGCAAAGGATGCCATGCCCCAAGAACTCGGTGGGCTACAGTTTTATAATCAAAGGAAAAGTGGGGAGGGAGAGAAGAACTTTTGTGTTTCTTGAGTAGACATCATGCTTCCATCATCAGCTCCTCCTCCAGGTTGGGCAAGGGGGTTTTCTTGTCTCTTCGTGGTCAAACTAGGTCGACAAATTATTATTTCTTATGTGTGCAGAGAGCAAGTCCTAGGGATCTTTAACTTACTGAGCTTACTGGGCAGAATGTGGATCTCTTCCCACCATGGTTTTATTGTTTGGGGGTATATCTTGTGCTTCTGTGGCATGGTTTTGTTACTAAGCAAGCCTGCCTGGTTTTGTGGTTACGCAAACCTGCTTTCTTGAGTAATCATTTACAGGGATCTCCCATATTTTTTCTACCTACAGTCCCCTAGTGGGATTCACTATTAAATCAACTACTTTGTCCCTTTACTCTGTCCCTATCACAATTAAGTGAAGGCCACGCTTTTTTTTAACTACATATTACCACTTCCTGATGTAAGCAGATTTCACAACTTTGCTTGGTTGCCTGACCCTTGCTATCAAGCTACTCTTTTCTTTTTTTTTTTTTTTGGCCATGCTGGGTCTTCACTGCTGCGTGGGCTTTTCCCTAGTTGTAGCGAGTGGGGACTTCTCTAGTTGTGGCACAGTGGCTCCTCATGTCACAGAGCACGGGCTGTAGGGTGCGTGGGCCTCAGTAGTTGCAGCTCCCAGGCTCTAGAGCACAGGCTCAGTAGTTGGGGCCCAAGAGCTTAATTGTTCAGCAACATGTGGGATCTTTCTGCATCAGGAATCAAAACTATACCTCCTGCACTTCTTTACCACTGAGCTACCAGGGAAGCCCAGTACCAAGCCATGCTCTCTTACCTCATCTTCTAGCGTGGGAAAGATATCTGGCTCATCATCTTCTGTTCATCTTAAACGTAAAAGCCTGCAAGTGATGATGTCTGTGTTTTGACATTTTAGTTTGTGCTAAATATGCTATGTGCAGTACAAGGAAGACTTTGCCATTTATTCTAATTCCCTTACCAGATTCTCCGGCATGAGGAATTTGAGGACGGCTGCAAAGCTGCCTGTAATGGGTATGACACCTTGTTTCTTAATATCTCCTTAAGCTCTGAATACCCTGTGGAGAAGAGAAAGCAGTTTCTCAAAGCAGGTATAAGGCAGCAGAGGAAATTAAGGAGGCAATAAAAAACAGAAATAAGACATTAGGGAGGCAGCTTCAGGGTCACAAAGAAATGTATTCTGTGGATGAAGCAACGTCTTATCCGGTGTCTCTTAATTAAGCTCAGTAGTCATGGCCTGAAATTCCAAGGCCTGATGGGAGTTGCACACTTGCTGCTGCTGCTAAGTCACTTCAGTCGTGTCCGACTCTGTGCGATCCCATAAACGGCAGCCCACTAAGCTCCTCCATCCCTGGGATTCTCCAGGCAAGAATACTGGAGTGAGTTGCCATTTCCTTCTCCAGTGCATGAAAGTGAAAAGTGAAAGTGAAGTTGCTCAGTCGTGTCCAACTCTTAGCGACCCCATTGACCGCAGCCTACCAGGCTCCTCCGTCCATGGGATTTTCCAGGCAAGAGTACTGGAGTGGGGTGCCATTGCCTTCTCCCACATGCTTGTTGACAAATACGCAAAACATAAGTTAAAGTCAGGTGGGAAAACTGTCCCTGTAGGATACAGCTCCCTGCTTTCTAAGAAAGGTAAACAAATCTTTCCCTCAAGTAAGTGCCAGACAGGTGGTCCTGGGAGCCTTCATTGACGGAGCTCCTGAGCACTGTCCACAGCTGCCCTTAGCACCGGCTAAGGCCGCCACATCTTTACGGGTACTTGGAGGACCAGAGGGGACTGCCCACTTCTTGTTCCAATAGCTCTCTGAGGGCGGCCTGAAGTAGATTTTTGTCTGTAATCACTGGGTTGTTTTTTTTTTCCTCTTTTCACTTTTCTAGGCCTTACGATGGGAAGTGGAGTAAAACAATGGTGGGGTATGGGCCTGAGGGTGATCACTTTGTCACGGAACTGACTTACAACTACGGCATCGGCAGCTACCAGCTTGGCAATGACTTCCTGGTAAGTACCGTTTTGTTCTCGCTGGTTTTTGCTTTATGTTTTAGAGGTCACTGAGGCAGCTGTAGATAATGATGACTAAGTGAATTGATGACTTTGGGAGTGGTTTAGTAATCAGTTCCACGATTTCTATTTAAAAAAGAACGGTGTGTGTGGCAGTGTGTGGAGGGAGGCTCAGCAGGGAGGGGTCTGTGTGTACAGTCAGCCGATTCATGTTGTGCAGCAGAAACTTAACACAGTGTGGTGAAGCAGTTATATTCCAATTTAAAAAATAATGGTAATAAATAAAAATGTATTGAATATTTAAAAAATAAAAAAGAACAAAACAAAAAAACCTGCTTGGGCACCTTGTCTCCAAGCTTCAGGATGAGACGTGTTTTCCCAGCATTTAAAAATCAAGTTCGGGATGTAGAGACAGCTTTGAAGGAGACAGGACTCCCCTTCGGGAATAGCTGAACCGTGAGAGGTGGAGGGGCCAGAGTCATTGGTTCATCAGGTTCTCAGCACAGTCCAGAGAAATGTTTTCTCTCTAGTGGACAGTTGTGATTGGTTCAGGCGATTACACAGCCACAGAAAAATCTGACAAGGTTTTAAGGATAAAAAGGTGGCATTGCATACACTATTCATTCATTCAAGAGTTCAGGTTATTGTGCATCTATTATAGTAACAGTATTGAAACCATTGGGTGTCACTGAGGGGGCTCTGAAGAGCTCTGGTGCTCTTTTATGACTCAGCACAGAAAAGAATTCAGCTCCAGCTAAAGTGATAGATAAGAAGCAATTTATTACAACAGGATGCTCGTGAGGCTTACCAGTGGGCAGGCTAGAGATGCCACGTCCCAAGAACTTAGTGGGCTACAGTTTTATAATCAAAGGAAAAGTGTGGAAGGAGAGAACTTCTTTGTCTCTCTTGAGTAGACATCATGCTTCCACCATCAGCTCCTCCTCTAGGTTGGGCAGGGGAGTTTTCTTATCCCTACATGGTCAAGCTAGGTCCACAAATAACTGCGTTTTTTTTGTATGCAGAGATCTTGTCCTAGGGATCATTAATTGACTGAGTGCGCTGGTCAGGATGTGGGTCTCATGCCACCATTGTTTTATTCTTTGAGGGCATGTCCCACACTTCTGTTGCATGGTTTTGTTACTAAGCAAGCCCTGTCTGGGTTTGTGGTTAAGCACACCTGCTTCCTTGAGTAATCATTAGCTTACAGGAGTCTCCCATATTTTTTTCTCCTTACAGTCCCCTAGTGGGATTCAGTGTTTAGTCACCTACTTTGTCCCTTTAGTCTGTCCCTGTCTGTATCTACCACTTGCTAATCAGTTACTGTGAGATACAGTGTCCCTGGGCCCAAATACACAGCAGAAGTGGAGTAATTCGTTCTTACTCAGAATCTGCCCAGGAAATCTACCTCATGTTATTTTGGTCATTTGTTCTCATTATTCCTGTTAACTCAGTAATTAACTCATTGACACATTAAAATAAAGGTAACTAGATGGAAGTTCGTACAAGGGTCCGATATCTACAAAAGTGTTTTGTAAATGGAAAGGATGGCTCAGACTTAACATAATATATTTCTGTTTCTCTTTCTCACTCTCTGTGCCACTGACTAATTTATTCATCTAATAGATATTTCTTGTGACTTGCTCTATGGCATACCCCCTGTTAGATCCTGGGGATACAGTAGAGAGGGGAGCATGTTCCCTGGCCTAAGGAGCTCCCCGTCTGATGGGGGAAGCAAGTAAAGAGACAACAGGAATACAGTGTGACAAGTCTCAGATAGGGATAGGAACAGGGGGATGTGGGAACACACAGGAGGAATCTCCAGCCTCTTCTCCGATGGGTGAGAGTTCAGGGAAGGCTTCCCAGAGGAGACGTCCGCGCCAGGTGAGGGAGCCAGGACAGGAAGGTGAGATGGCTGTCCTGCACCCGTGCACAGGCCTGGAGCTGAGGGGGAGCCTGGCGCTCAGAGAACTGTGAGTCACGCAGTCTGGCTGGAGCGCAGTGTGTGGAGGAGAGAGAGGGTAGAGTTGAGGCTGGAGGAGGCCCCTGGGGCTGCATCACATCAAGACATTTAGATGTCCTTCTAAAAGCACAGTGGAGCCATTTTTAAGCAGGAGAATGACACAGAATTTGCAGTATCCAAAAATCCCTGGCTAGAGCAGGGAGGCTGGGTTGGCAGGGAGCAAGACTGAAAGTGAGGCAGCCAGCCCAAAGGTTATCCAGTGATGACAGTGGGAGGGAGAGTGGGTGGATTTGCGAGATGTCAGAGATAGCAGTCATAGGATTTGGTGATTCAGTGTATATGAGGGGCTCTGTGTTTCTCCTTATCTTTCTATTCTTTATGCTCCAAATTTAAATCAGGCAGAGAAAAAAGGAAAACCAACTTGGTGCCATGAACCAAGGAGAGGGGGCCCAAAGCCTGACAGACAGTAAATAATAAACTTGAATGAATGAATGAATAAATAATCTAATATCATTTTAAAGATGATCATTGCAATGGGTAAAGAACAAAGGAGAGAAAAGGAGCTTGGGGGCAGGTGCAAATGACCAGTTTCACGTAGGGTGTTGAGAGTAGCTTTCCGTAAGAAGGTGACATTTGAACAAAGGCTTGAAGAGGATGAGTTAGCCGTGTGGGTATCTCAGGGAAGCGCATTTCAGCTAGAAAACAGCCAGTGCAAGAGCCCTCAAACAGTGCCTGGAGTGTTTGAGAAAATGCGGAGAGGACGGGGGGAGAGGGGGAGGAGATGGGCTCAGAAATGACCTGGGTCAGGGGCTCGGCTACTCTGGTGACTCAGTGGTAAAGAGTCCCCCTGGCAGTGCGGAAGATGCGGTTTCGATCCCTGGCCCAGGAAGATCCCGCATGCCTTGGAGCAGCTAAGTCCGTATGCCACAGATGTTGAGCTTGCACCCTAGAGCCTGGGAACTGCAACTACCGAGCCCACGTACTGCAGCTACTGACGCCTGCACACCCTAGAGCCTGTGCTTTGTGACAAGAGAAGCCGCCGCAATGAGGAGTCCTCACACCGCAACTAGAGAAGAGCCCCTGCTCGCCACAGCTAGAGGACAACTCTCATGGCAACAAAGACTCAACACAGCCCAAAGTAAAAAGTGACCTGGGTCAGATCGTCTCGGCCCTTTTAGGCCATCGTCAGCCGTCCCAGGGTGAAATGAAGAGCCATCAAGGGTTCTAAGTGGAATAGTGACAACATGGGGTTGCCGTCTTGCGGACAAACAGTAGGGTGGGCTTCAGAATGTTTACTCCAGTCACAGAGTGGCTGATGGGTTAATAAGACTGAAGGCAGAGGCTATCTACCATCCAAGCTAAAAACGAGGCCAGATATATTGGAAGGCATAGTGTACATTCTTAGGTATTTTGATTACGCTTAAATAAAAGATGCCTTGATAGTTGGTTTATATTTTTTGGTTTCAAAAGTAAAAATAAAAACAAAAAAGTTTAAATAGGTAGCTGGCAAGGCACAGGTAAGATAAAGATTTCTCTGACCAGATCTTGACAATGAGGGGGGATTTTCACTGTTAGTGCAAGTCGCTCAGTCGTGTCCAACTCTTTGCGACCCCATGGAATTCACAGTCCATGGAATTCTCCAGGCTAGGATGCTGGAGTGGGTAGCCTTTGCCATCTCCAGAATGTCTTCCCAACCCAGGGATCGAACACCAGTCTTCAGCATTGCAGGTGGATTGTTTACCAGTTGAGCCACAGGGAAGCCCGATTTTTGTTATTGAATGGATCTAATTTCTCTTGCGTTTGAATATCTGGCCTACCATCCACAAAGCTTGGAATCTTTGTGGGAGAAAAATGTCCAAGACTGACTTCAAAATTAGTAGCAGAAAATTTTGAATGCCACTTAAATCTTAGATGTTTGACATAAAGGCAGTGGGGTTTTAATTCCTAATCTTCTAAAGAAGATCTGTTGTGATTATGCTCTTGGATGATTATGTCCTGTCGTTTGTCATAGGGTATCACGGTGGCTTCCAGCCAAGCTGTCAGCAACGCTAGGAAGCTGAAGTGGCCGCTCAATGAAATGGGAGACGGTGTGTTTGAAACCAAAGCCCCCGGAGGATATAAGTTCTATTTGCAGAACTGCAGTCCACCTCAGTCAGGTAATTATATCTGGATTGACAAAAGCCCTCTGTCTAAAGGCATCTGGTGGAAGGAGAGAGCGAGCTTGACTTCCGTCTCCTGTGGAGTCTCTGTGTTGATATAACTTGTCTTTCCCAAGCTATTGTTGTTACTTGTCCTCTAAGAAATTATATGATCATGTCAAAACTTCAGTGCATCCCTATTGGTGTTCTGGAGTGGTTTGGTTCTACTGGTAATGTGATGATGCAGGATACTTTCAGCTGCAAATATCAGAAAACCCACCTCTAGGTTGAATGGTTAAAAAAAATGTCTTAGTTCATAGAGCTGGTGTCGTCGTGGTTGGAGAGACTTCAGGGTTTGTTGATTCAGCAGCTCAGCAATGGCATCAAAAACCCAGATCTTCTCTCTCTCCATCCTCTTGTCCTCAGGGGTCCGCTTCTCCCCCTCACAGTGGTAGGGTGACTGCCAGTAGCATTTGGGGTTATCCGCCTGCACACTCTCATTGGTAGGAGAAAGAGAAGCTGACTTCCTGTGGCTCTTCTTTAAAAGCACAGCAGAACTTTCCTAGGATCTTCTAGCAAACTTCCTGGTCAGGGTTGATTCACATACCCTGCTCCTGAACCAGTCATAGGCAGGCAAGAGAAGCAGATTTATCCTTAGACCAGTTAGTCGTCTCCCCTGGCTGAGGACAATTTCCCAGATTACGGTGCTGGTTCTCAGTGAGTCTGGGTGAATGAGGTGAGGAGCCCACCACGCTGACCCCCACAAGTGAGCAGGAGAGAAACTGCACTACATTTCAAGTACCTCAGAGGCATCCTCATGCATCATAAGTGTATTGCTGAAAATTCTGCTACCTGCTTTGCCAAGAAAGAACCAAAACCAAGAAAAGGAAAAGAAAAATTGCTGGTGAATAGCAGGGGCACTTGTGCCAGCCGTTCCCTCCGTGAGCACAAGCCTCTAAGTGGAGACCTTCTCTTCCCCCACACTGGTCTGTCTCAGCTCCCAGACGCCCCTCATACTGAGCCTGATGGTTGTGATTAATGTTACATGCTTTTCATCCAGAGCTCAGAAGAAGAAAGCAATGGTTCCAGTGTGGGAGCTTAGACTGGCGCTGTGGGATTTACTGAGAGATGGATTTGGGAGCTTCCTGGGTGATGTAAGGGATTTCCATGACTATTTTTATTGATAGGTGATTGGTGCTTGAAATACTAACTTTGATACCTAACTCCTGCCATGAATTTCACTGTACACTTTTTCCGTAGTTTACATGATGCTTCAGTGCGTAGGATAATGGTAGGCCCCAGAGGCCTGAGATGTTCTTTGCAATGATAACACCTTGGGAGCCTTAATTTCTGGTTGGTAGTAGAGTCAGATCTCTCAGTCTAAGTGGTGTCCATCCTTTGAATGAATCACTCCTGTGTAGTCACACCCACTGCAACTATTCCTGTCCCTGCATCCCTTCAGGGTGTGAATCAGTTGGAATTTGTTGATTTCTCAATGAATGGGGAAAACTTAAATCTGCCAGAGAGAGGTTCCTGTGACATACATTTTGCTTTAGTCATGGTATTGCTAGTCTAGCAAACAGGGCTAAGGCAGTGAAAATTGAAGAAAACTACATTGAGTTTACCATAGTGAGATATAGACTTGGAACAGCTCTTCCAAAAGTCACTTTACAAAATAGAAGTTTCCAGTAATATTAAGTGTTTTAATAGGACTTTTATTCTTTTTTACAAAAATACAGATTTTTTTTCTCCCTAGACAGACAGGCAGAAAGAAGAAAACATAACCACTGTTAACATTTTAGAGTATATCCTTCCAACTTTTTAATCCAAAGAACTAAATATGTAATCGGATACATATGGGATTCCATTGTGTGACATCATAGGAAGAGAAACGGTTGTCTGTTGTTAGAAATTCACTTTGTTCCTCGTGTCTCATGAGCAACTCTGTGATGAGTGTCTTTGATGAAAGCCCATCACACATCCACAGTTATTTCCTTAATTGCCAAAAACGGGATTGTTCTCTCAAAAGCAGGGGGCATACTTTAGACACATTCTGTCAAAATTGTTGCCCAGAAATATTACTAATTTACACTCTGCCATTATGGTTTTTCCCATTGCACTGTAATAGTTAACTCTGTGAACTTTTTAAAATCATTTGCTGATTAGATAACAAAATGTTTCATTTGAACTCTAACTTTGTGCGGTTAAATGTGCTTTTGTATGTTCATTCACTTTTTAAAATCATTTGCCGATTAGATAACAAAATGTTTTATTTGAATTCTAACTTTGTGAGGTTAAGTATGCTTTTGTATGTTCCTCCTTTGGTGGATTGCTGCTTTGTGCCTCTTGCTTATTTTTCTAGGATGGGCATCTTTTTCCTATTGATGCTGAAAGGTGACTTAAATTTTAAGGACTTCTTGCTAATTTTTGTTATTAAAAAAATGTTTCCTGCTTTGTAGTTTAGTCTTTAATTTTGATTGTAATTATTGTTTTGGTTGTTGTGTACAAGTTTTCCATTTTGTATGATTAACCTAGCACATTTTCTTCTTCATGGTTTTTCTATCTTTGATGTCAGATTAAAAAAAAGATCTTTCTCCATCCCAAAATTGTTTAAATAATCATCTGTTTTGAGTATTTTCATGGTTTCATTCTTTCAACTTAACCCTTTAACCCATCAGGAATGTATTTTGCTATCTAGTTTAAAGGTGTCGCTTCTTCCTACCGTAAGAAACCAGTTATCTTAATACCTTTTATTTAACAATGTGCCCTTTCATACTGACCTAAAATCCCTTTCTTATCATAAACTAAATTCTTATATATACCTGAGCCTGTTTGGGTCCTTTGGTTCCATTCCTTTGCACTGCCCTGTCCATTCCTGCTGTTTTGTTACCTTTCAGATCCTGTATTAAAAGTAACTCTAGCAGTGTCTGATCTTCAGAAATCTTTGAACTACTGGTCTAACCTACTGGGAATGAAAATTTATGAAAAAGATGAGAAGGAGCAGAGGGCTTTGCTGGGCTATGCTGATAACCAGGTGAGCAGTCCTGGAAAGAAAGAATCTGTTACTTTAGGTTTGACTTATAAATGAGGTTAATGTGAAGGTTATTGACATAGTTTCTTCATAGTAATTCAGTGTTTAGAACAGAAAGGAGAAAATAACTTCCAGGAAACTCACCACCCAGATATTACCTTTATTTATATTTGGAGATACATCCTTTCAGGAGTGGATTTGCTGAGTCGGTCAGAGGAGATGTAGGCAAGACTTAATGCAATGATGATAATCTGTTTTCCTCTTTAAAAAAAAACACAAAACATTTGAGCATGATTTAGTCCTTATACTTTGACCCAGCAAGTCTACTGAGAATTTATTTCAGAGACGTACTCATCCTACACGTGCACAAAGGAGTGTGCACAAGTTTATCTGCTGCGGCATTGTTTGTAATAGCAAGATATAACCTAGGGAATTCCCTGGTGGTCCACTAGTTAGGACTCCACACTTTCACTGCTGAGGGCTTGGGTGCAGTTTCTGGTAGGGGAACTAAAGCCTGCAAGTGGCCCAGTGTAAACAAAAAAAAAGAAAAGAAATAGCCTAAATGCTCTATGGATTCAGTAGTTGAGTGATTTATGGTTCATGCATAGAATGGACTACTAAAGCAGCCATCAAAAAAATGAGTCTTTATGTGCTGAGATGGCAGCGTTGATTGGAGAAAAACATGGGAAAGAATAATATGTAAATTATGTTACAGTTTGTATGAAAAAAAAAATAAAGGATATATGCCTATGCTGTGAAGGATACACAGGAAACTGCTGATTGGTTGCCCCTGGGGTTGACAGGAGGGAGACTTAGAATTTACCTTATTCCTTGATCCTGGTTTGAATTTTTTTTTTTTTAATCACATGACCTGTTCTGAAAAATAAACCCACTTTCTCATGTCTTTTCAGTGTAAGCTGGAGCTGCAGGCCATTCCAGGGAAAGTTGATCATGCAACAGGTTTTGGACGCATTGCCTTTTCTTGCCCTCAGGAAGAGGTAATGTTTGGTACCAGGTCTTTTGTTGAAACTCTGTGACTAGTGACCTCTAAGAGCTAGGAACCCTGGCCCTCCCTGCTCCAGGTTCATGCTGGTTGTGGCTTTGGTATGAAGGTCAGCAGTTGTCTCGAGAGCAGTGAGATAATAGAAATCAAACAGGTGGTGCCGGGGTTCTCTCTGGTTGACCTGAGAGTCCTCCAGGGCTGCGGGGAGCACGGCCCCCGTGTGGCATGACACCCCGTGCTCACTGTGCCTTTTTGTTTTCCTCAAGTTGTCAGACTTAGAAGACTTGATGAAAAGGGAAAACCAGAAGATTCTGACTCCCCTGGTGAGTCTGGACACTCCAGGGAAGGCGACCGTGCAAGTGATCATTTTGGCCGACCCTGTAAGTATCACCCAGGAAGGGGACAGGCTGCCCCATAGTTTTCTTCTGAGGTGTCTCTCTGCCAAATTTGTTTTCTCTCTTGGTGTAGGATGGACATGAAATTTGCTTTGTGGGGGATGAAGCATTTCGAGAACTCTCAAAGGTGGATCCAGAGGGAAACAAATTATTGGATGACGTGAGTCTCATTTCTAAATTCCTGTCCCCTTTGGCCGAAGGGGATAATGTGTATGGAGATGGGCCAGTTCTTACTTTCAGAACCCTGTCCTTTTGCTGTTGGGGCGACTTGAGCCAGAGACTTGTGTCGACTTCATGACTACCTATGTGACTCTTGGCGGGGTGCAGCATCTGTGCCTTCCCTCCCTTCCGGCTGCCTTGAGGAAACCGCTGCTGCTAAATACATCACTGTTCTGCTCAGAGACCAGAAGTGCCCGACCACCATCCGTTCTCACTATCTTAGCCCCTTGGTCATATCTTCTCCATTCTACAGCATCATCCTCTTCCTTCCTGGCGAATTATTCTCACCAGCGTACAAACTAACTCCAGTATCTTGAAAAACTCTTTATTCATCCCGTATCCATTCTCCAGATTCCTTCTAAAAGTCTCCCTGCACGCCGTTTGTACTTCTTTGTGTGTGTGTGTGTTTACTGTCTAATTTTGTCAGGATAGTGATTGATGGAGTAAGTCATCCCTTTTTAATGAGGAACACAGAAACTAGTTGTTTGCAGGTGGTGAGAAGGGTGGGTGAGGGACAGCAGAAGAAACTTCATTGTAGTTGTTTTCTGAGGCAAAAGAGGTATTTTGCTTTCAGAATATGAGAAGGAAAAAGGAGAAAGTACATCAGATTGTGCCTCATAGTGAAGAAGCTCCTGAGGAGGGGAGTGAGGGCTACCACTCCAGATGAAGCTGTGTGACCTGGGGATCTCAGCACAGATTCCCAGCATTTCTGAACCCAGATTTCCTGCCTGCAAAATGGAGGAGACAGTCACAGATTTCTTTCACCATGAATGCTATGATCTCATGGTTCTTTTTTTTTTTAATTGAAGTATAGTTGATTTCATAATGTTGTGTTAATTTCTTCTGTACCATTTCTAGTACTCACCTTCCATTCACATTTCACTCTGTCCCGCACCGGCTCCTATCACGTGGTGAAACGCTCGTGTTGACGTCGTCAGTGACCTCCCTCTTGCCAAATCCAGTGACTGCTTTTCATCCTCATCAGACATGATCTTCTAGCAGCCTGCAAAGCCGTTGTGTAGTGTCCTACCCCAGCTTCCAGCTCGTACCTTGTAGGTAGTCGGTGCTCAGTGAATACATTGCTGCTGCTGAAAGGAGTGAATCTACCAGTCGTGGTTTCGTCACTTAGTACTGCGTGACTGACCTTAAGCAATTTACTTCAAGTCTCTAAACTGCAGCTTTCTTATACAGAAATGTGAGGAAATAAGGTTATCCGCCTCCCAGGATTGTTGTGTGGTTTACAGTGCTTGGCAAACTGCTGACATAGTAACAGACACTCAGTTGAGGTTCATCAAAGCCAGAAATGTACAGAAGCTTTAGTGTTTCTAAATGTTACTGTGAAGGAAAAATAGAATCTCAGGCAACCTCTCAGTTGGCAGATTGGCTAGACTGTTCTTGCTCTTTCATCACTGACCAACTTCCTCTCCTCTCTTCTCGCTTGATGGTAGAGATCCCGCCATCTTCCTGTCTCTGTCTGTCTGACGGCTTCCCCTCAGCCACAGGCACCTTTTTCTGTGACTGATCCTGAAGTGATGTTGCCCACGGTCCCCCTCTGGCTGTCTTTTTCTCTCCTTGTACATTCTTTCTCTTCTCTGAGAAGTTACCTGTTCCTCTGGTTATCTCTGCTCTGAGCTTGAGCCATCATCTGTTCTAGACTTCTTAATTTCTAGTTCCCACTCCCCCCTAAGCTCTAAACAGGCATTTTTGATTGTTTTTACTGAGGTAAAATATACATTGAATTTAAGAGTACAGAAATTTGGTGTTCATGTTGATAAATTTTGACACTTTCATAAACTCATATTCACTACTAAAAATATAGAGCATTTTCATGGTTATAGGAAGTTCTCTTATGCCCGTTTTTAGCTTCCAACTCGTCCTCCCAACAGCAGCTACTGTTCTGATTTCTGTCATACTGGCTTTGTCTATCCTTGGACTTCATATAAATGCAATGGCTTCTTTCAGTAACATTTTTGAGATTCCTCCATGTAATTGCACATTCCAGAGTTCTTTTTTTTTTTTTTTTCCTTTTGCTGAGTAGTATTCAGTTTTGTGAATGTAGTAATCTGCTTATCCATTCTTCCAGTGGTGGACATTGGAATTTTTTTCCAGATTTTTATCTATTATAAGGAAGACTACTATGAATAGTCTCATGTTAACTCTTTTGGTGGGCGTATGTTTCATTTCTCTTGCATAAATGCTCAGGAGGGGAATTGCTTTCACTTTCTAAGAAGCTGCCGAACAGTTGTCCAAAGTGATTGAATATTTTAAAACTATTGGTCATGTATGTATAGAAGAGTTCCAGCTGTTCCAAATCCTCATCAACATTTGTGTGTTGTCTTTTTGTCCATTTCTTGCCATAATTTTATTTTTAATTATTGTTCAGTCGCTAAGTCGTGTCCAACTCTTCTCAACTGTGTGAACTGTGGCACTCCAGGCTCCTCTGTCCTCCACCATCTCCTGGAATTTGCTCAGATTTGTCTCCATTGAGTTGGTAATGCTATGATTAAAAATTCCAGATATACACAAAAGAGAACAACAAATCACTATGTGATTATCACCCATCAACTCTGCCATAATTTTTCATCATTCCTTTCCACCCCACTTTTTTTTTTTGGCAGTGGAGATGTTTGTTGGAGAATTTTAAGGCAAATTTCAGATGCCATGTCATTTCACCCCTAAATACTTAACTGTTTTACACATTTTAAGATAATTTAAAAAGTAAAAGTTAAGGAATTTTCTTATATACCACAACGACATCATCACACTTAAAAAATCAACAATGTGGGACTTACCTGGTGGTCCAGTGGTTAAGACTCCATGCTTCTGATATGGGGTGCATGGCTTTGATCCTTGGTCCAGGAACTAAGGTCCCCCATGCCACATGGCATGGCCAAAAAAAAATCAACAATATATCCTTTAATGTTACCTAAAATCCAGTTCTTATTAAATTCTCCCTGGCCATCTAAAAATGGTTCTATATATTAGTTTGTCCCATGTATTTTTTTTTTCTTTACTGCCCTATGTATTTTTAAAACTGGCTTTAATATGGTTGGACTGTATCAATATGAATAACTTACCTGATCCATTGAGTTTCATGAAAAACTAACCAGAAGACACACCAATGATCTGTTTTACATTTTAGCCATTCTCTAACGTCTAAATATGAATTTATGTTCTCCCCGTGTGTCTTTGCTTATATTATTTTATTCTCCTAGAATGTCCCTTTTCTCATTTGAATATCTGCATGTTTTTCAAGGCCCATTTAAATCCACATTTTAAAAAACTCTGACTCTTTCTTATTGATGTGTTGGACTTCTGGATACGAGTCATTTGTTAGATAATCTGTAAAGATGGGTACTTTTCCCGTTCAGTGGTTTGCCTGTTTATTTTCTTAACAGAGCCTTTGAAGAGAAGACACTTCTTTCAGCCCAGTTTATCAACTCTTCCTTTCATGCCTGCTGGTTTTTGTGTCACACTGGTGTCACAGCCAAAGAACCTCTTAACCTGGACAAACTATGAACATTACAACTCCACATGCCTATAACTTACTTCATCTTACTTTGGATCCATTCTTCATTAATATTTTAGGAAAACAAAAGTTACTGTTTATTAAGCATCTCCTATATTGACACGTTCTTAAGTGCCTTACCTATATTCTGTAACTCTTACCATAATTTGCAAGGTGGATAGCATTCCCCTTTCAGATAAGGAAACTGAGTTTCAAAAGAATAAGTCACTCAATATTATACATTCCACAAGTTAGCAGGGCAGGGGCCCAAAGAGAAGTCTTTCAGGTTTCAAAGGCAGTTCTTTTTTTCTCTTCTGTACTCTGCTTCCTCCCTTGGAAGTACTTATATCTGTCATCACAGTTGTTTAAGCTAGAATCCTCAGAGCCAGTTTTTCTTTTAACATTTAATATGCTTTTTTTAAAAAAATTATTTATTTATTTATTTATTTGGGGCATGGACTCTAATTGGTGGTGTGTGGGCTTCAGTAGTTGTGCACAGGCTTAGTTGCCCTGGGGCGTGTGGGATCCTGGTTCCCTGGCCAGGGATTGAACCTGTGTCCCCTGCATTGCAAGACAGATTCTTAACCACCGGACCACTAGGGAAGTCCCTGATATGATTTTTATTTTAGAATACTTTTAGATTTACACACAGAGCCATTTCTGAATATTGTTGCTCTTCACCCCTTACACTCTCTGAGCAACAAGGCACCAAGAGCTGAGAGTTCTCCCTGGGAAATCCTCTGCTTCTCTTTTGAAAAGGCTCTCATTTTCACCTCCAAATACTGCACACACCTCCTCCCAGCTTCTAGTCAATCTCTGATGCCAGCAGTAGGCTTTCTAAAGCATAAACCCAGTAATGAAAAAACAACCGTTAAATCTTCCAATGGCTGTTTATTGCCTCCAAGAGAAGTTCACATCTCTGGCAGAGCACACGACATGTCTGGCCACAGTGTGCTGCCTCTCCTCCCCAGCTAACCCCCTTTCAGTCCCACTGAACTGTTTACATTAACCAAGGTAGATCTCCATGCCTCCGCCCAAGGGTGGTTTTTCCTTTCTCCCCTCCCTGCTTATTCCACTCATCCTTCAAAACGCAGAAGCTTTCTTGGGTTTTTCACACCGATTTGTTGTTTTTCCCTACTTTCACTGGCTCCTAGAAGACAGAAACGTCTGTGTCTTTGGGAAGTGGAGAGGTTTTGGCCTTCTTTGGCGTCATTTTTATTTTTAAATACATTTTATTTTCACCAGTGTATTTTTAAAATGCATTTAAAACTCAGAAACACACAAAACAAATAAGACCTTTTATTTTCATCAAGGGCTTCCCAGGTGGCTCAGTAGTAAAGAATCTGCCTGCCATTGTAGGAGATGCAGGTTCAATCCCTGAGTTGGGAAGATCGCCTGGAAGAGGACATGGCAGCCCACTCCAGTATTCTTGCCTGGAGAATCCCATGGACAGAGGAGCCTGGTGGACTGCAGTCCATGGGGTCGCAAAGAGTCAGACATGACTTAGCAACTGAGTGTGTATTTTCATTGAAATAAAAAATCAGATAGTACTAAGATTCTATATAAATGCAGTGATGCCATCTCTGAGTCCCACTGCCCATGGCAGCCACTCTCAGCTTCACTGTTTCTTCATTTTCAGTTGCAGACATCTTTTGACTTCCTGCTGAAATAGATGGATGATTTTACACTAGTTCTCTATAACCAGTTAGTTACTCCTTTCCAGTTGGTCTGATAGCACGTTTTTATGGTTCTATTATACACCAGGACACACACACATGCAGACACATCTGCCTGCAAAACAGTTGTTTCCATATCTGAATCCTCAACTGTTTCATGTGCTCCTCAAAGCGTCAGACTTTGTTGCCACACCTGAACCCAGCATAATACCTGCCTCATAATGAAAACTGGCATTTTTAAAGGTACAGTTGTCACTCAGTATCCATGGGGGTCGGTTCTAGGACCCATTGGGAATACCAGAATCCTAGGATGCTCAAGTCCCATAGTCAGCCCTCCATATCTGCAGAAACAGAAACCTGTGGAAACAGAGGCCTAACTGATTCAGTCCTTGAACGTATTTCCCTACCAAACAGCTTACTAGCATACACTTGGTTATATTGGACCCAGCGTTTTAGGAGACTTCTGTTGTAAACCCTGCTCCTGCCAACTCCCCTGCCTCCTCCTAAGACCTCAGCCCCATGGACTAATTCGATAAAAGGACTCTGGTGGAACCAAAGCATACTGTTTCTTAACAAAGCTTTTTTTAGTTAAGCGGCCCCAAATGAAATAGTACCAACATCAGTGAAATAGGAAGTGTGGGAAAAGGAAACAGTTACAAGCTCATTACTAAAATGTCAGAATAACGTTTCACATTGGTCTCGATTAGAGTGAGTCTCCTGGGCACTAAAGATTCTTGAGAGGGCGGCTTCCCTGCTAGTCCAGTGCCTGACTCCGTGCTTCCACTGCAGGGAAGCATGAGTTCGATCTCCGGGGGGGAACTAAGAGCCCAGTGCTGTGTGGCCCAGTCAAATAAAGATGTTCTTGGGAGCCCACCGAGATGCTAGGAGTGCCAGCACTTTCTGTCCCAAAGAGCCCACAGCCTGGCCTTGCTCTCCAGCCAGCCATCGGCCACACTTCCTGGCTGCAGGCTCTGCCCTTTACTCTGCAAAGTGAGAACTGACAAGCAATTGCTCGATCCCCAGCAGCAACATCTGTCAGAGTAAACACAAGACTCTACTGAATGAGCATCTTTTAACTATTAATTTCTTGATTGTGGGCAGTGAGGTACGAAGTACCAGAAGTTTTATTTTATTTTCTGGATTGAGACTAAATAATTTCAATTTCGTTTCCACAGGCCATTGCAGGAGATAAAAGTGATGAATGGTTTGCTGCACAAAAGAAACCCAAGGCTACAGGTTAACAGAAGGCATCACGTGCAACAAGCATTGGTGATCTTGCCCAGCTCCTGTGAGGCCTGCCATGCGCCTTACATGGTGAACGCTCTCGCAATGTGGGGGTTTCCTGTACAGGCACAGAGGCTGGGGTGGCAACAATGCATGTATTTTAATCTTTAAAAGCTCTGATATGTTTTAGAAAATCCTGTCATCATCAGTTCATTTAAAGAACTTTTGCTGTCATCTGTGCTGTCACTGCAAGGGTACATTCTGTATGTAACTCTGTTAGTAATAAATTCTTCTCCAGGCTGGGACAGCTGTATGGAACATGACCTTTGATTGAGGGTTGAGGGAATTTTGATAAGCATGTAGGTTTAATGAGAACAACTAAATCCAGATAAGTCCAAATCAGTCCTACTTATAGCAGGAGTCCTTCCAGGACCTGGAGACAGTATGCTGTTCTAATGTCTTACTCTGGCAGGCCTTGACATATAAAAACTTTTAAAGAAATTTCGTGCCTTGAACCAAAAGGTTTGGTTAACATTCTGATATTCCTTGCTTTAAATTTTTTAGTCAGAAAAAATAGAAGGGTGTAATGTTGCTACATGCCTGGCTCTGTGTTATTTTCTCTCTCTCTCTCTCTCTATATATATACATATATGTATGTATCTATATATGTGTGTGTGTGTGTATTTTTGCTTTTAATCCTCTTGAGACCATGTTAGATTTCTTAGAGATGGATTAATGATTTCTTCAGTACGAAAAACTTAAAATATTTACTTATTATTTTCTTTTTGATTCTGCAGAACAAATCACTTTTTATCACTGGAAACAAGTTGGGCATTTTTATTATGAAATGTTTTTTGGGAATTATGCTTCTGAAATCAAGCTGTTACAACCAATTTGTAAGAGTCATTATTTAAAGGTGGTGGTCAGTTTCACACTTTAGGGAAGAAACTAAGGAGATTGGAAAGGACTGACTCAGAAGTTACCAGTTCCTACACAATATACATGAAATTACTTGTAAATCATAGCCTCTAAAACCAATTGTGGGTTTAAATGCAAACCAAACTATGTTCCTCCTGTCCACAATTGGCTCACCTTTTTCCTATGCATAGGGAAATTATTATATGAATTTGGATAATTAAGTAAATGCCTTGTCTGTCTTCTTTTGACTACAATTCATTAATTCTCAGATTTTCTGTTAGATTATTAAGTAATTCTTGATGTTTCTCTCTAGTAATACTGTTTTCCTGAAAAGAAACTATACTTTTCCCAGTGTGTTAGACTGCTTTGTTGTAGCCTTCTATTTTGCAAAGTAAGTGGAATCTTTGTTTTCTGAGGAGGGATCGAACTCATGCCCCCTGCAGTGGAAGTATGCAGTCTTAACCACTGGACCACTAGGGAAGTTCCTGATGTGGCCTTCTAAGTTTGTTATAGTAAAATAAGTGGTTTATGTAAGTACTAAACACATGCTAGATTCCTCTTTATCTTACCCCCAATTTTTTCTCTTAAATGTTCAGCTCTGCACAAGAGAACTGAATGCCGTTTATCTATCTGGGACATTTTAGCTTTATGATACCAGACCCCTTTTATTTCTCTCATTGCCTGTCATTTTTCCTTTGTTGCAGTCTTTAATATTTTATTCAACCTAAAACCATTTACTGTACCACTTTTACCTTTTATCAAGCAGTCCAAAAGTTGACCTCTGCACAAGGCAGCTACTTATTTTAAACCAGAAGTTATTACTTTCCCTCCCCTGGGGATGTAATGGTTTAAAGATGGTTTTATCCATGCTGGTGTTTTTAAATAGATGAAATTGTAAAGTTCCTCTGTTTTTCCAGAGTTATGTTTTCAGAATAGTGATTTTGTTTTTTTGACCTTCAGGGTTGTGGTCCTAATATATTAAGTTGAAGTTCAAATATCTCTTGGGTTTAAATCCAGAGAGACTGTGATATGAGAGTTCTCCCAGGTTAGCCTGGAGAGTTAGTATGAAATCCACATTTGTCTGACATTGGGATGGAATTAGCAAAGCCCAGGACTTTCAGTGCTCCTCAATGTGACTTTCTGCCTATCTCACCTGTCCCATGATGTCATTGTGGTCTAGTGTAGTTTCCAGGAGGGTTCCCCTTTGTCCACTGAAATTTATGGTAGAAGTTGATGGGACATTTCAGTTTGGTCTAAGATAGCTTTCCTTTACCCTTGGGAAATCTGTAGAAAACTTATTACTCTGTCCTTAAAGAGAAAGCACCTTTGCCTCAGACCTCTTTATAAGGTCATAGAGCCAGTGGTTCAAAAATAAAAACAGTATAAAAGGGTACTTACTGAAAAGCCTTGTTCCTCCCATCAATCCCACACCCCCTTTCTCCTCATTAAGCATACACATACGTTCTTTCCCCCAAAATTTTAGCACACTGTGTATACTATACCTTACTTAAAAAAAAAGGATTCTGCAGTTGCTGTCTAGAGTCCTTATGGTATAGTTTATTGGGTTTTTATAGTGATTTACAGAATGGTATGGCTATATACTGCAGCACCTAAATTGACATATTTTGGAACAAGGTATTCTATTATTTTTACTATTAATTCACATTTAATATGCATCATGGTCCTAAAAGCATCAAAATGTATTCATAGTATCTTCCAGAGAGAACAGCACCATTGTACAGTGTGGGTCTTGTCCAATTTATAGTTAAAAGGAATAGGCCTTTAGTCACTGTGGTATCCTGAGTACACGTGATTCTTAGGTAATGCGGTTAGTCTGTAGCAACTGAGAATATGTGAACACAAGTTCTTGAAGAAGATACCTGGCCAGATCTGGTTTCCTTTACCCTTTGAAGTCTTCTTTATGGTTGTTGCTTCTATTGTTAAATAGTCCTCCGTGAACTGGAGCTGGCTAGGAAAACAGTTTTTAATTGAGAGTATTGGGAAATTCCATGCCACAGCCGACTTTCTTCTCTGGAATGTCTTCAATAATACCATTTAGCACTCCTGTCTCAGGGCACCATTGTGCATTGATGACTCCATGAAAACACTTAAGAGGAGACGCTGCGCTTAGGTGCCTTAGCCCCAGCACAGGTCAAGGGATGTGTTGTGCTCCCCAAGCAAATCCCGCTTACATATGTATACACACTGTCCCGCAAACATCCCCAAGCGGAAACCAAGGCTAGCTAAGGGACTGGTCCCAAGAAAAATTTGGTTGCATGGTCTTAAATGTGTCTTTCAGAGGCAGGGATTTTGAAACCATCCATTCCAATGTTTCTCAACTGCTGTGTTGTGATGCATCAATTCATCAGTTTCAAAGTGTGACTTCCCTCAAAACATTAACTTCACCAGGCCTGTGTTCAGTAGGGGCTTTTGGCAGTGGGACTTAACTTCAGCTTTTTGGAAGACCAGGCCCCACCCCCACCCCCACCCCGATAATGTTGGGTTAATAGTGATAACAGTCCCTGGAGAGACAAGGGACCTCAGATTCCTCTCCTTCCTTCTCCCCCTCCCCTTCCCAGAGGTTGAACCTCAGGAGAATGGTCTCACTGACCTCAAGTCAGAGCGTGATTCTGCCCCAGGTCCTCTGCTTCTGCAGAATATCTACATATGCTCTGGTAAAAGGAAGGCTGGGAACTCAATCCTACAGAAAGCCAGTTTCAACAGAATTTTCCCTCAAGGAGAGACCCTTTCATAGACTTTGGATCCCTCCCCCCAGGACACACTTTATCACACAGACACCATTCATCAGTTGTGCAGCAGCCGTCATGTTAAAGTGATTTATTGAGGTCTCAGCTATGGTGGTGGTTACAGCCTCAGGACACTTCGGCCCTCAAAAAGTCTTTAAACTGCCTCCTTCCCTACCAGAGCCGCCCTGCTACCCTGTCCTCCCTAACCAGCTTCATTTTTCTTTAGTTCTTCCACTTTGGCAATGTAGATCCTCATGGCATCCATCTTGGACATCCCTTTATTTACATTCCATGCCTCCCACTTGGCCTTGGCTTTCAGGTCGGTGGCAGGTGGGGCTGGGATGTTGCAGTCACCCTGGGTGGCCTGTTTGTAATAGCTGTACACCAACAATTTCTCCTGATCGCTCACCGGCGCCTTCAACTGTTTGATGGCAGCGCAGGCCATCTCAAACTCCACTTGGCACATTGAGGGTGCTGAGGCTGGGCCCTGCTGTCCTTTCTAGGTGGTGCCTGGCACTAGAAGCTGGAGGATGGAGAGTTAGAAACATTCGAGGCTGGTGATTAAGGCCGGGAAGGAGGGAAAGGGAGACAAGACAATGTGTGGGAAGGACAGAGGATATGCGTGTGTTTTCTCAGTGAGGCGTCAAGCGTGGGTTTTCTTACAGTACGGATTACAAACGGGGGCCCCACACAGGCGTTCTGGCTCGCACCATGCATTTTCTGCGAAGGACAACCATTAACATTTCAAAGGTGTTTGTGATGCCAGAAAATAATGGAGCAACTGCTGCTGTCAGAAGGAAGAGTGCTGAGGACCACGCGTGTTGGAGTGGGACAGGAGCCCCGCTGCGGGGGAGGAAGGCTCTCAAGGAGTGATGTGTCCATGCGGGTTAATGGGCAGCCTGGGGAGGGGTAATTATTGAGGGTGAACTGTGGCGGGGGGCATTACAGGATGTTGGAGAATGCGAGGCCGAGGACAGAGCTATCGGGAAGGACCAATTGGAACCCAGGAAACGGGGGTTGCACTGACTCCTGGCTGCGCGCGGCGGGGACTGGGGTGGGGGTAGTGTGCGGTCCTTTGGGGGCGGGGCCCGGGGAGAGGGAGGGGCGGGGCCCGGGTACCTGCCTGTTCGTTGGTGGGAGGACTCCGGCCGATAGGGGGCGCTGTGGGCCTGACGGTCCTGACGCCGCCGGCGGTTAGGTGGGACCGCGCGTGCGCGCGGGACGGCGGAGGCCGGGTCTGTACCGCCCGGATGCCGAGCTGAGACTGCGGGCTCGGGCCGAGGCACGGCCTATTGTCCCGCCCCCCGTGGCCGTCCATTGTGCCGTGACGCTGACGTCGTCCTCTCAGCGCG